CCACTACCACTACCACCACACGCTCAGGCGCTGCGCCGTGCTCCCAACCGAGCTGCAGAAATTAGCTGCCTTCTTCCTCTTCCAACCACTACCACCACACACTCAGGCACTGCGCCGTGCTCCCAACCGAGCTGCAGAAATTAGCTGCCTTCTTCCTCTTCCAACCACTACCACCACACGCTCAGGCACTGCGCCGTGCTCCCAACCAAGCTGCAGAAATTAGCTGCCTTCTTTCTCTTCCCACCACTACCACTACCACCACACGCTCAGGCGCTGCGCCGTGCTCCCTACCGAGCTGCAGAAATTAGCTGCCTTCTTCCTCTTCCAACCACTACCACTACCACCACACGCTCAGGCACTGCGCTGTGCTCCCAACCGAGCTGCAGAAATTAGCTGCCTTCTTCCTCTTCCAACCACTACCACTACCACCACACGCTCAGGCGCTGCGCCGTGTTCCCAACCGAGCTGCAGAAATTAGCTCCCTTCTTCCTCTTCTAACCACTACCACCACCACCACACGCTTGCGACACTACAGTAACTGTGAATTATCTAGTAAGACAGTGAAACATCGATAATTTGTACCAGCCTTCGAATGCGGCATGATCGTGCACTAAACGGCAGTGCGCGCTTATTACAAGCACAAATGTGTATCTCCTGGAACGTATAGAGTGCCACAGCAAACGGTGCCGAAAGTACCCACCAGAAAGTCTTTTCTTCGTTCTGCCGAAGTGCGAAATAGAGACTAAGCTTGCGTGGCAGCTTGTGCTAGTTGGTATGGCATGACGATACTTATAGCGCGAGAACAAAACGACGACACGGAGACAAGAAGGACACGAAAGACACGAGCGCTCGTATCCTTCTTGTCTCTGTGTCGTCGTTTTGTTCTCGCGCTTTAACTATCGTCATGACTAAAGCTTGCGCTCTGTGAATGATTGTTTTATTGCGCACGTTGCTGACGCCAAGGAGCATTTTGAACCAATCACAGGTTGCGGTCCGTCCGGCATACGCAGCGACTGAAATGGCGATAGGATGGGCACTATCGGCTTTTCGCCGTATGCACATGTGTGCTTCCCTACCGCGATACTAAGCGATAACTGACAGTTTCGTTGAAACGCGGAGCGGTGCCGTGGACTCGGATAATATCCTGGTTAGTTGCGTGCAGCGCGACGCCTATTCCGCCCACGCTGCCGGGTGACTCGCGCTGTACCGTGCGAGCAGATTTCCTGAGTGGCTTGCTCGTCCCCACTTCGCTCCAGACCGAGCACAGGCGAGCAAGGTAGTGTGTCTAATTAGCGTCGGGATAACGAGCTTTCGCCAAGCGAAGTGTGCCGCGATTATCTATACTCCGTTTCACACATTAGGTGCAACAGCAGTTGCAACGCCGTGGTAGATGGCAAGACTCTTTGCAGTAGGTGCGTTGACGTAAGAAAAAAAAAATAGTTCGCTGTTTTTACCAACCGGAATATATTTTTTTTCTTTTCGTTTCAATCCGAGTATTAAATAAGCATGTTTTGTATCACAGACACACACACACCCACACACACTTGTGCGTGTTAATTTAAGTCTGCAGCTGGTATAGCTCATTAGTACTGAATGTTCAATGAGAACCATTGGAATTTTTTTTTACCAGAAATAACTTAGATTGACGATGACGTTTGGCTTTAGAAAGCTGCTCTCAAAATACCCTGCGTTGCTCTAAAACACACCCTTTGGTGTTCCGAACTTGCTCCAAAACTTCCATTTTACTGTGCCAACTAAACCTGCTCCAAAACGGCATGATTCCTGCTCCCTGAGCTGCTCCAAAACACTCAAGTCCACTTCCACCCCTGTCAAGTGATTAATTAAGTAGTTAATTAACGAGTTTTCGTAAATTAGTCCCATCAGCGTAATTTTAGCGGCGGCAAAGTATATATTTTTACCTCAAGGTAGAGTGCATGTGGGAAAACAACCGGCGCTTTATTATGCTTTATTATCATAGAATCTTTATCAAATATGGCATCGTCATAGTCAAAGGAACAACCTGCATAAACGGTTTTTGTCATGCTATAAGTCTTTCGGCCTTGTCGCACGGACATCGCAGGTTTTCCTCGCAAGACCCGCACCTTTTTTGCGGCGCTACGTGCATCATATGGAAAAGTATCTTTGGGTGATAAAAAATATCGCTCCCGTGATGCCCTCTCAAATTTTCTTTGCTGTTATGGAATCGCGGGTAATAAACAGATTCGGTTGAGAATAATTTTTGCATGCCGATTTTTTTCATTTCAGTTGAAGAGAAGCAAACAAAATACAACATTGGTATCCTTCGTGCCTTTCCTTTGCCTAATTTTTTTCCTTGTTTATTTACTCCCCTCATGTTGTCTCCGCTTTTGCTTTAGCATATGAACGATTTGTTCATAAATCTGTATTGAAATATTCACGCACGCACGCACGCACGCACGCACACACACACACACACACACACACACACACACACACACACACACACACACACACACACACACACACACACACGCACACACACACACACACACGCACGCACGCACACATATGCGTGTGCGATGAGCATGTTCACCGTTTCTCAACCGCACGGGATCATGGTATACTGCTTCGTCCGAGGCCTGAACATCCTGAAACGGCTGAATCGGAAGCTGGTATCAGACGTTCGCTTGCATTTGCTGGTGTTCTGTCTTAGGGTCATCAAAGTTGTTCTCTAGAATTAATTCTTTTACATCCCCTTTCCCTTTCCAAAGTACAGGGTAGGAAACCGTATGCTTCCGCTTGTTAACCTTCGTGTCTCCCTTTTATACCTCTCTCTGGTTGATTGGTTGGTTGTTTCTTGGTCAATAAATTGCGCAACACACCCCAGTAAATCAGACAGGAACCTTGCAGTAACTTGTTAAATGAAGTGTATAGCTCAAGAAATAAATACCCGAGCACACAATTCATTATTGATAAAAATAATGAAACATAACACAACAAAGATAATAATAAACTTGCATCTTCTTCCCCAGACATCACTATACTTTTTTTCCCGTTGCGTCATCGAAAGTCCTAGTGTAGCGGCCCACCGCGTCGTTGTACACGGCATCACTGTCCCTGACGTCACCGTTCATGTCGTCGCTATCCCCGACGTCACTGTCGATGACGTCACTGTCCCCGTCTTCAATGTCTTTAGCGTCTGTATTCGACGTCACTGTCACTCTCTCCTTGCTTCCCACTGGTTGACGACCGACACTTGACCGTCACATAGACATTGAGCTTGTCGTCGTTAACGAAGCACCGGTAATCGAACACACGACTGATTGATATGTGGGGTTTAACGTCCCAAAACCACCATATGATTATGAGGGACGCCTTAGAGGAGGGCTCCGGAAATTTGGACCATTTGGGGTTATCGCGGCGGGGCGGTAACCGAACACAAGGCCGTTCCTTCGCGGTGCCATGGCCGCCTCGAAGCCTTCCAGGACGGAACTGGGCCTACTCGTCCACGTCAGCGTGCGCTTGTTTCCCCTGATCTCTAGACGATAGGTGAACTCCTCGGCATCCTTCGGTGTGCCCAGGTGTAGCCCGTAGATGAGGGCACTGCTAGATTGTTCCCTCTCGAGAACAATTATGAAGTGGCGGCCGAATCACTTCTGGACTGTCCTCACATTGTTACATCATGGCCATGGCATATGAGGGTCGTCGACGACGAACGCTATCTTCTCGCCTGCGATTTAGTTGTGAAAATGAGTAGTACCAATTAACGAAACACTAAACGAATTAAGAGTGATAAACTATTCTTTTATAACTATATTGTTACTCGCGACGTGAAAAGGGATATGATTAAAGGTATAGAGATAGAGAGGGGGAAGGAGAGAGCGAGGCGCCAGGACAGCGAGCTACGGAAGTAAAGAGAAGATATGAAAGATGGACACGGTCGCAGGAGTCCGAGGACGGGGCGCCACTGGCGAGAGCTCTTGTCGGTGACGGGGGATGGCGTAAGGTGAGTCCAGTTGGCGAGAGCTACGCTGTCGTCGGGGATCGGCGTCAGGAGATGGCGTAGGGCCAGCCCAGTCGGCCAGAGCTGCGCTGTTGTCGGAGATCGCGAGGGCATAACTGGTCGGCACGAAATCCAGCGAGAGTCCCTACATCTGTTGCCCATACCCGTTTACGATGACGACTACAGCTTCCTGGTAGGCCGCACAAATTATGGCTATGCTGTAGAAGGCTTACGCCTCCGAATCGTCCTAAGCAAACACATTAATAAAAGACCGTGTGACGTTTATTAGAGCACTTACCTTGAAACTTCCTCACTCTTACAGAACACGCTGTTGGTTCTCGTCACCGTTTACACATACTACAGGCTTCTGATAGTAAAAACTTTAGCACAAAAGACGACGCGGGTCGACTAAGGGAAATGTGCACCGCAATTGTGCTTGAGGTGCGTTTCCTTTATTCATTCCGTGCCGTCATTGTGCTCTCTATGATTGTGCTCAAAGTTTTTATATGAGAATGTGATATGAAACAGCCTGCCTAGCTACCCAGCTACATTACGCTTTAAGTTTCGCTTACTACTCGCGGGTGGTGCAGTGTAGTTCTGCATTTCAAATCACGCGCGCAAGCCGTGTGCTAGTTTCGCTTTCGAAACGACCCTCCCGCTACCTACACCGCGCGGAGCGTCTGCCAGCAGGGGAGGGGCACGCTCACTCGAGCTAGAGTTCAGTATATTCTAGGCACTATGGTTTAACTCGAGCGAATCCGGTACGTGGTGGCTACGCTGATGATTATTTACGGCAGTAACTAGCGACTCATCAGCGTGCCAAACGCGAAGGAGATCGTTCATTCCGAAACCGCGGACTCCGGGGTCCGGCCAGACGAAGAGAAGAAGAGCAAAGAAACGCGCTCAACAAAAACAAGCGAAGGCGAATAAAACCCGCGCGCACGGCGACAGGCTCTCACAAAAAAGAAGAGAGAGAGACGGTGCGGAGAGGAGTGGAGAGAGATGGCTGGCTAGCCGAGAAAATGGCGAACAGCTGTTCCCGCACGGAGCGGTTGCTACGGTTGTGTTGGCTTCTCCACTCCATTCGCCTTGCTGTTCCGCTAGGTGAGTGAATAGCAAGTCCGTTCGCGTCACCGTTTAAACAGCTCGCGTATGCGTGTGACAGGAATCGGCAGTCCGTGCGGATGCTGCTTTTCGAGGAAGGAGAGGCGCGCGCGATCTCATCCTTCCGCGCTCCCTTTTGTGTTTTCTTTTACTTTTTTCTTTAGTTCATCCGCACGAATGCAGCTGTGCGGGTTCGCGCGGGAAGCTGCTTGTGGGGATTCATCGTTTCGGTGTCCAGAAGCTACCATTCGCTTCGCACGGTCGCGAGTTGGTTCGGCGAGCTGCGCCAGTTTGAAATCGCGATGTCCCAATGCGTGTTTTCAGCGCGCTGGCTCGCTGAGAGCACTTGTGCAACGGCTTTCGTTGGAATAAAAAATAGTGATAAACGAAACTTATGGCGGGGTGCACGTCTGCATGCAACGTCGATAGTTGTGGCTTGTTTTGCAGGCCACGCTGTTTCGATCGCAGTTTAGCGTGAGCGCGCGCGCCTTCAATATAGAACTGGTTGATGTCCACCAGATTTCGTTACTGGACGCGCGCTGTGCCATTGGTGGTATTCTAGAAGAGATGAACAGGCTTCCCATTACGATCATCATCAGCTGATATCGATAATCAATGTCAGCTGATGATGCGTGACACTTGCTAGGTGGATCGGACATTTTCATATTTTGATATTTGTGTTCGCATTAAACCATTTTATTCGAGTTCAGGGATGTTCTTGAAACCGTGGCAAAATATTGTTGTGATATTCAATTATTGAGCCCTTTCCTGTATCAATATTTTTTCTAATGGTCATTTAAAAAGGGTAGCACCTCGTATGATACTTGCAAAAAAAAAAAGAAAGCTAAAAGGTTTGAAAGTACTAACTGGAACCTATGCACAACTCGGAAGGGCTCAAAGACAACCGAAAACTTTATATTTTCACCTGCAATTTCATTGTAATGAACTTATTTGCAGAATGTATGCATTGCACACACTAACAACACATGTACGTATGCTGACTCAGTACTCTCACTTTACGAATGTTGGCGTGTAGAGTGGCCTGAAAATGAAACTGCTAACTTACCTAGAAAGCGTTAAAAAATGTGGGAACAAGTTGGCGAATTGTCATCACTCGCATTTCATTGAGAACATGCATTCAGTCAGGTCGAGCTTGATGTCGTAACCGCTCAAAAATTCGCCACAAAGTCTGCGTTCCTAAATAGGCACATGTGTATCAACATGAAACCAATCACTTTGCTCTCTTGCAATGCGAACTTCAGAAAGTTAGTGGCGAAAATTAAACTCGGGCTCAGTAGCTTTGCTGCACATGAGCTGTGTGACAAATATTGCCATTATAAGCCAAGTTTGCAACCACTAAACAACAACATTACACTTACAATATTTGAAGTGTACACCATCCTGCGTAGCCGCAAAATCTGTTAGCACGCATAAGAAAGCTTGGTCCATGGTGTACACGTGATGCCAGCAGGCAAGGACGCATGCATAGAACTTCACACAATTTAAGAAACTCAATAGACTCATGCTCTTCGAACTATAGAGGAGCTCGCGTTATTTGCAAAGTTTTCATACAACATTGCTGGCGCTACTAAACAGACCTGTCGCTCATAAAAGCTGGCATAAAAATAATACATTGCTGCAGTAAAAATAAACTGCTGTATTATAGTAAAATATTTTAAATAGTCATAATATTTATTTGTGCTTTAAATATTTTGCATAACACAGTTGGGTTAAAATTGTTCATTGCTACAGCCACAGCTGCAGAATCACTGTCGCGGCTATCTCGATCTAGCGTTATTGGCACCATATTTGAATCCAGGAACAACTCTTCATTTCAAAGCATCTATTTGGAGAAGCTTAGTTCTGCTATTGCCATCCCGATATGTCATAAGAAATAAGAATAGCTATATGTGCATTGTTGTGGCTAATGTTGATCAAGAATTGGGCGTCTTGTCACGAGCCTTTTCTTTCTCTTTTGTGAGCGTGTGTGTGTGTGTACGGGAGAGGAGCATTCACTTCAAGATCTTTTGAATATTTTACAAACACTGTAAAAGCCCTCACAATAGCTAGCAGCAGATGGCACTAGCTGCTTCGAGCTCGCTGAAGCTGTATAGCTATTAACCGATTTAAGTTTCCTGGGAATGTGCTTGGTGACATCTTTCTAACCTCCACCAGGATCACCGCATTGAGGGTTTATAATTTGTCTTGGTCTCTTTGAATACTACAGCAAAATCGCTTACATTTCTTTTCTGCTGAGGTGCAGCAACAGATTCAAAAAGCATCAACTGTGAAGCCTTTTCTTTTTACTCACCAGTAGCTAATACTGTCCTTTGGTCACGATGCTGCTGCTCCTTTGTGTTCTTTTAGTCTCTTTCAACGTCTTTTTTTTTGTGCTCGTTTTATTTGCCTAAAGCCTAGAATATGCACAACTAGCATCCCTTCATAATATTGCTGCATACCTACCTTCCCTTCCTTCTTGTTTACTGAACTGCCTATGATGTTTCATATTCCTTCATTGCTTGCTGCAGTGTACACCCCTTCCGATGCCTACCAAGAAAGCCTTCTTCGGCCATATCGGACGTTCAGTGATGTGGCCATCTTCCACTTCACAGTGCCTGCTCAAACGTCCCGGGCAGCTTGGCAGTTCGTGGCCTTCATGGACGATAAGCATTGCCCGTCTCAGCCAGTGTACATGTCAGTGCTGTTTCCATTGTCATTAACAACTTTTAGTGATTCCTTCATGCTGCACGTTTGTCCTAAGCACTGAATTGCGCATACAAGACAGGGACTAAAAGAAGAGACGACAATCTTTCAGTCCTTGTCTTGTTTGTGCATTTCAACACTTAGGATCATGAATCAATAAGCCGGAGTGTCAGCCATTCTGAAATGCAAATTGGTGTCTCTCCCTGAGAGCATCATTTATTGTTAATGAGAAACACATCCAGCAGACCTATCCAGTGCCTCCAAATTTCCTTAACTTTACGACTCTATCTCATTCGCTGCTGCTTTGCACAGTCAACTTCAAAAGCGTATCGACTATGCGGCCAATAGCCTCTACATGGCCTCTTTGTCACATTTCCATTACGTCAGTGGCGATCAGCGGCAGCAATGTGCCCAAGACACATGCCTTCCTTGATCAATGGCCTGTCTATTTACTCTCTGGACAAAAATATTTTCTGTATTTTCCTGCCTAGCATAATGTGCTCTAGACACCAACAGCTACATGCTTCTGCTTCTTCAGAAGTTTATCATTGTAGCCAATATCAGTCATAACTCATTGACCTGATATCTACCCAATGACACCCCGCTCAAAGCACACCATGATTCCTGTGACACTGCTGTCAACGATGATAGCCAAGGTGCAAATAAACCGTCTTGCATGAAAACAACAAACCAACATTGTTGCACGTTGGTAGCAAATCAAGATGGCAATGGATGATAAGACCCATCTTCGATATAGCGCTGCTGTCGATGGCCGGGAGTGCACTGCTAGAGGGTGCAAACTGGCGGACTACCTTGCGCTTATGTCGACCTTGAACTTTTGCATTCGACTGTACTTGTTAAAGACCATTCAGAGCAAGATAGCTATGTCCACTGAGTGAGACTTCTATTCATTTCCGTGCCCCTAAACTTGGAGCTTTTGCAAAATGCTAATTCTGTAAGTGGTTTGTTTCCTGTGCACTGAACGCGAACCACAGGCATTCTGCTGTTACAAATGAGGAGTCCGGCGATCAATGGCTGTAGTTGTCGCTCGCGCTCGCCTGTAGCCAGACCTGCCTGATAAAGAGCCTTCTGCGGATCAACGACTAAACCTTTCTCGAAGTACAACACCCCCATAGTAGACGTGCGTGGTATCGATCCCAGTACCTCTTGAAACTTTGTGCAACTGCAACCTGTAACTTTGTGGAAGTGAGAAAATGAGAGAGGTTGATTTTCTTTGTAGGCGCAGTCTGCATGTAATCGTTTCCTTCTCTTACCTCTTTCAAGTGCTTAGTATACTCTAGAATATTTACTTCAAAGGACAAGCAGTCTGTTGAGACAAAATGGTAATGATGGGTTGAAAAATGAACTGCGCCTTCCTAGCAAAAGCCCCTTTCTAGAAAATAAAATAAGAGATGATGTGATCAACATTCAGTTGAATCATTGCTACAGAATGTCGAGCTTCAGTGCACCATTTTTTGGTTTATGACTGAGCTAGAGCATGCACAGCAAAGGGAGCTACTAAATTTATGTATGTAAGGTAAGCTCTCTACATCATTATTTGAGCACTACAACAGAATTGTGCAATCTGGTCAGAGTTGGGAGGTTAACTGACTCTAATTGTTCCCTCAACAGCTACCTCAGGCACGGCAGCTATCCTGTGGTCGCAGCAGACAACAGCTCTTTTCCCGCCCACACGCACCTTCCGAGCCAGTCTCTGTATCACCTCAAGACAGAGACCAAGTTTCAGCCCACGGAGATGCCGGAATTCCACGTGCTCAACCCGCTGCCTGGCAGCTGGTTCGTCATTGCCTTTCTGCAAGAGTCGAGCAGGCAGATTAAGCAACAGGTAAACTGAGCTTCATTTTGCCACCGGACCTCTTTGGGCATTGAACGGTCCCTGAAGCACTTTTACAAGCAATCGTTGAATGACTTCATTAACCCTTTACTGTCTAACGTCGCGAATTCGCGACATACCGAAAAACTTCGAGCAAGCAAGTCACGGAATGCATGCTGCCTTTAATGCCGGCTGTCAAGTACTCACGGGAAATGTAGCTTTCAGCATGAAAAATGTAGTGCTATCTTGTGTGATGTATTTTATACTAGAACCAACTATTTTGTAGCTGATGACGGAGAGAACGAAGCGTGTTCAAGAGTGTTCACTTCAATAATTCTATCTTCATAATTTTTTTTATTTGATGTGTAGACGCTCAAGATGCGGCACTTGATATGTTATGTAGTTCTGAAGCACGATTTTCATTGCAAGGTCCTCGCTTTTGTGACATGTGGAGAATTCGTAAAATACATAAAAGGTTGCTATTTAAAGCTGAAAAATGAAAACTATTTTATTTTCTTTGGCAGTTTTGTAATTCAGGCATTAAAGGGTTAAAAGGAGTTCATTGCCTGATGAATCGACTGCTGCAAAAGATTTTTGAATTCGTTAAGTATCAGCAAAATTTGAGAGATTGAAGCTCTTTCTCTTTTCTTTCACTCCAACTAGTGTGCTGAAAGCCATGCAGGGTGGGAAAAGTAGGGAGCAAGAAGCTGCGTCTGTTCGTCAACTCGCGTTTTCTTTCTTTTTTTATTCTTTAAAGGCACTGCTTACCTTCAGTGTGATCACCTGTACATAGGTATGTACAGTTAAACCCCTTTATAAACAGGCATGCTCCGGGCAGCAATTCTTGTCTTTTATATGAGATGTCTCTTATAAGCAGGGTACCTCATATGCACTTGCTTGTCAACCTATATTTTAGTGTAAGCACACTGGTGTCTGTTATACCCATTTGTTTCTTATGTCAGCGTCTCTTATGAACGGGTTCGACTGTAGTTCTCTATTGTGTGTACTTCTAGCACTATAGAGTGCAGCACAGGTATGTTTCAGCCACAGAAACTATGCAGCTCACGAACTTGAAATCAGCCATTTGCCATGGACATTCTGTTTATGCCGGGGCCATGTTGAAATATGGCATCACTTTTTGGGAGAAGAACGAGCGATTTCTAGCTGAATTTGAAAGTTAATTGGAAGTTCCAGGGGGCATACTGTGCTGCAATGCTTGGCTCACGTGTTCTTAGGAGCCTTGACAACTGATCAGCAGTGTTTTCTGACCATGCTTACAAAGCTTTGCAGGGCCCTTTCTAATGTGAACTCAGGGTCTATCTGGTTGCGTCATAAGAGTTAACCCTTTTAGGGTTTTTGCCTTGAGGTGGCGGTTTTCTGCCCCGCAAGGTCTTTGCCACAAACAAGTGCAGTTTCAATGGTGCATTTAAAATTCCATGCCATAGCGATGATGCATGCTCACTGTGAAGATGCTGCCACCTCCTAGAACTTAACTAGAAGCTTGAAATTCGATTGAGCTACCGCTGAGCGGAGGTTAGCAAATCTTATTTCTAGCATCAGAACCTCGTGTGGCAATGCCCATTGCGCTTTCGGTTTCGCCGCTTAATCACCACGTAAGTGTGTGAAAATTGTTGGGGGGGGGGGGGGGCAAAGTTGATTTTTTTTTTATTGGTGCTTCTCTCTGCTTAATTTTTTTATCCCTGGCACTCATGAAGTATTCTCGCATTTCTTACTTACCGATCTTCCATCAAGTTCTTCAGACGCACAGTAAAGCAGTGGCATGGCTGTCAAGAGAGTGCACTGCCCGTTCTCCTGACACCGACACTGATGGCTCTTCCGATTCTGACTTTGCTTTTGTTTTACATGTGCAGACTGCAATAGAGCTCTGTGTGTAGACTTGTGTTTCAGGGAATACCATAGAATGGCATAGAACGTCGGACATGCTATTCGAAGAAAGCTGGTTCAGTGCCAGCGACAAGTTGTCTGTTCATCTGCTTCTTCTGTCTTCTCATTTGCATTACAATTTGTACTAATTGCATCCCCTGTACTTTCCTTGGCATCATTGGCTGTTTGTTCTCAATAATAATTTGTCCAACTCAGTATATTTCACAGTTCTGAGTTATGCAGACAACAAATACTGCTTCTGGGTTGTTGCTGTTTTTTTTTTACAATATTTTCTCAATTTCACACCTTGTGTGAGTTCAAAAACCAAAATAAGGTAATTCGACCACCTGGGATATTTTTTTTTTTTTAGAAAAAATACGACCTTAGATGTTAAAAAAACTGAGCTCCTTGCTCTGCAAGATTCTACTTGCTCAATATTATCTGGTGTAGCAGAGTGAATAAGTTTTCAGTACTTTTTAATGAATTTCAGGGAATACATCGTAGCTGCCAGTACAGCCTCGGCAGTATGGCGGCTTGGACACATCATCATGAGGTCATATTACTCAACGTTGGCATGCATCTCAACATCACGTCGCCACCTCAGCTGACTGTTTTCAAGTGAGTGGGTGCTGCGTCCATCAAGGGATGTAGCCAAAGCATAGCCGTATTCTGGAAACATTCATGCCCGTTCCTTTGAAAATGCACCATAGAAATAACAAAAATGACCGGAGTGATGCACATGCACAAGTCCATATTTAGCGCTTAGTTGTGTTCGTGTCATTCTGTGGAGCTATTTCAAAGAAAAGAAATCAATTGTCGATTCCCATTTATCAATCATCAGTTATTCTTAAAACAGTGGTGAGTTGTCAATTCTACTTAAAACCTACGTACCTCGGAAGATTTTTGAGGATTGCTACATTGCGAAATGCATTGATTTTCTCTTTCAGCCGCATGCACTGAATTTTTGCTTTGTTTATTGTCTTTGTTGTTTTTGTTTTTACAGTGCTACATGTTAACTGCAATTTTGATGTTGTTGCGGCCCATCTCTCATAACTGTTACAGGGCAGATAACTTTTAATCAAAAGGCCTTGCTTTCAATTATAGAGCTGACAATAATTCTAACATGATCTGAGAGTGTGCAGCTAACATTTAGCACTATAAAAATGAAAACAACAAAGACAATAAACAAAGCAAAAATTCGATGAATATGGCTAAAAGGGCAAATCAATACATTTTGCAATGTAGCGATCCTCGAAAACCTTCCATGGTTTGTAGGTTTTAGTAGAAGCTAATTAGTAAAATGCTGTTAACAGCTGCATTGACACTTGATCAGTCATGTCATGATGTCAACTGCTGATGGAAGGAATACTTGGTTAGTTAAAACTTACTTTATCTCACTAAACTGAGACTATTGTAGCAATTGCTGCATGCCATTTCATAGCATGAAATATGTACTGCACAGGCTGCACCATTTTTGTATAAATACGACAAAAAAAAAAAAACTTCTGTGGTATTTTAAAAGAAACGGTCATTAGGCAAGTGGCTATCAATTAGTGCCCAATAACGGTACGAACACACAAATATTTTTACTTTTTCAATTATGTATTATAAGTCATGCAGTCATGAATTTCACTAGCATTTTTACAAATATACACTCATATACACATGCAAGCACAAAGTAGAAGCATCTGTCTACATGTTCCTTCTTTGTCCAAGTCTTTTTACAGCATAGAAGTTAGGAATAGTGAAATTCGCCAAGTATCTTCACTCCTTGTCCTTTAATTTAGGGGAATGGGTGTTTAGATAGTACAGGGAAATAAACATTGTATCTTTTGTTTCTAGGATGAAAGCTTAGGCTGCATGAAACATTTTGCCGATGCTGTGCTCTGAAATTCTGAGTAATTGCAGCTACAGCTGCGGATGAACGAAATTTCAGCAAGCGTAAATCAAGATCCATCAGAACAGCAAAATTGCCACAATGACAATTGGGACTCGTAATCATCAGCTATTTTTTTTCTTTCTCACGCAGAGTCTATGTTCCTGATGGCGCGTGGCAGCTGCTAGTGAGGATATCTGCTTGTGTCAATGTCTCTTCAAATCTTTCTGCTCTCAAAAGTGAGGATGTTCAGCCTTGCATCCGAAAGTTTGGGCTGCGTGCAAGGGGCCTCCCGTATGCCGAAGACGTCAATGTCACCGGAAGCGACTTCTACAGCATTGTTCCACAACCGGAGATGGAAGCGTATTACTACATCACCGTCGCGGCAGACATGCACGTCGGCTACTCTATCGTTGCGGACATCAAAGGTACGTGTTCAAGAATGCTGTCAGATTTCGTCTTGCCTGACTGAAAAGTATCTTCATTATTTTTTTCAGTATTCATTGCAAATGTGCCATATTTATTCGAATGTAATGCGACGAGTGACTTTTCATTGCATCCAGGAAGGAAGAAATAAAATAAATATAGTAATTGTGTGCATCGTCGCGCTTTTTAGACAAATTGAATTTCAGTATTTGATTGTGACACTAGGGTCAACTTCGGGTAGCGAAAAATCTCGGAAAAAAGATCGCGCTATATTCGAGTAAGTACGGCACGTGCTTGTAGAGCCATCAACAAGCTTACCAACAATTAGCGTCGCTCACTTGTGGCTTTGGTTGGAAGGAACACTGCATCCCACTTTTCTTTCTATGCGTTAGTTTGCTTTCTTCCAAGGTTTCTTGCATAAGGCAACTTTGCTGCCATTCATATCAATGGAGTTATTGACTAAAATGTGTCTGCTATCGCAACCTGTCACATAACGGCACGTTTGTATCTCTTTTTTCAAAATGAAAGAGGTTTTGAGGACAAAGCATGCACATATGTAAATGCTCATTCTTTAAATTTTTTTCCTGACACATTCAGTTGTTAGTAAGCATGCATATTTGCTGCCCAGTCTTTTCTATTTGCACTGCTTCTTGGCTTCCCTCTCAGAAATTTAGTTTTGTGATTTATAAACAAACAAGGTGACTCATTAATAAAGGTATACCCTAAAGATAAATATTGATCAGCTGAAAATGTTTGTTTACTCGACTGTCCATTTTCCTTCTGATATTGGGAATTCATAAAGCAGTTGACCCTAACAAAAACTTGTTTTAATATTGGTACTAAGTTGTCACCACAAGCTGTATTAACTAATTCTACTAATCATGCTGTTGGTTTTGATGACTCCTTCAGGAATTATGTTCACGTCTAGCCCTGTTTGTGCTCATTCACAGCGCTCCGTTTTTTGCTTTGAATTTGAGAATTCTCGTTGATAAATTTGGCAACGTTTCCAATCCCCTTCAGTTTTATTTCCTGTAGGGTGCTGACACTCTCAAAACATGACATCTTTCAGACTGTCCCACGCCATGGCACTTTTCGAACCGCAAGTCCAGTCGACAGCCGCGCCACCTGACCACCGGTTTCAACGAATCAGATGCCAGCAACGAAACTGCATCCAATCAGACGGCTTCGACCCTGTCTGCCGTCAGTCAGCTGCACGAAGACCACCAGAAGGTGGCGTCGGGTCCCAGCAGTGCGACCGTGACCACGACCCCAACAGAGTTTCAAGCACACACCGCCCACTTTGTGAAGGAGATCTTGGGAGAGCAGGGCATACTGGCTGCCATGCAAGGATGCCTTCCCATGATACCCCTAACGAGGATCAAGCACGCGCAAGACTTCTTGGACTCTTTCCTAGTACAGGTATGAGCAGAAATGTTTCCAAGCGAAGCTTCTGCCAGGTACAGATTTCAGTGGCGACGGTGTAATTTGCCCAAAGCTCGGCACGGACCTGTGTACAGAAATGCTTATGTACATAAACATGTCCTTAAAGGTGTGCTAGTCACATTCAAATTTGTATCTACCATTTTACATTAAGTGAGTTACCCTCTGTCCTGGGCTTGTCAGCAATTGGCTGCTTCTGATATGGAAATCTGGTCTTTTATCGAGGGAACGTCAAATTTCTTATTGCCACATTTCACTGTTGCCTTTCACTGTTGCATGTATTGTTTCATGCACCATCATTATCATTGCCTTTCGCTACAGAAGTGTTGCTCTGCGAAGCACATGGGTGGAGATCCTATTCCCGACATGCAGGATGGAAAAGGTTAAGAGGGAGCATTGTGGGACGCATTAGGAAAAAAGAAAGGAAAATTTTAGGTCAGGTGTGCTAGCTTTGCTTGATCCTGATTTTGGGAGTGCTTCCCCGTAAGGGAAGGGTTCCTAATTTCTTTTCTTTGTTGGTGCATATATATTTTGTTCGGGCACATATATAGTGCATATATCTGAGAAGCAGTGTTTGTTTGTAGGGCAATAACTAATGTGCTTGCAAGGTATTCAACTTGTGCAAATGATTAAAACTGCCGGAAATTTAAACGTCAGCCTACGTGCCCGTAAATTCAAGCGATATTTTGCTTCCCCTAGAGTGGCATTGCATGAAATGCTTGCGTCATCGATGTGGGTGCTAGTTGAGGTGAAGAGACAGATTGTGCGCTGGCTGTGATGCTCATTAGATGGCGTTACGGCAAAGTGGCATCTCAACTCGTGTATTTTGAAAACGTCTTGCAGTCCAGAACTCTGTTGACAACATTTTGTGATTCCCATTGGTATAACCAAAATGTTTAAGGCTTGTGGCTCTTTTGACAAGGGTTTTTTACATCTCACTCATACCATGATATAATGAACCTGGATATAACGAATTATCGGTTATAACAAAGTAAGTGAAGAGTAACTTTGTAAAAATTACAGTGTCAAGAATATATGCTTATAATGAATTTTTAGATGTAACGAAGTATATTCATGGCAGATGTCACTGTTATAATGAAGTTTGAGTGTACCAGTAAAACTGTTAATAATTGGCGCTTGTCTGGCTTGCCTTTTCGCTCCCTCACTTTTTTGCATTACTTCAAACTGGTCAACATATACAGTAAACCTAAAGACCAGTTTGCCAGAAGAGAAGTAATATTGTTTTTGAGATGTCCCATGACTACTCAGTCAGCACTACGTCTTTTGTATTTTTGGTGTCATGAATGATAATACATTAACAAATAGGCTAAAGATCCATTAAACATTGCCCATAATGTTGTACTTGTATTTGCAACAAGTTTACTCCTGCCTTCTTTGCTGGTCCAAATGCTGGCATTCGCATTTATTTTTGCAGGGACCTGAGTGGTTTTCATCTTGGCTGGGCCTCACTGATGCATTCCCGGTTGTGGTTGGCCTCCAGCTGGAGCCATTTGTGGACATTGGGGGCACGCTACAGACAAAGATACATCTAGACAGTATGGTTAAGGTAATGCAGCTCCTGCTTAGCCGAGCTGCTACAGACCAGATTCATCTACTCTCTCTAACCCACACTTAAAGAAGCCCTGCAACACTATTTAAAGTAATCATTGAATGAATTCTTTAAAAGAGTTTGTATAGCCTCACAGAATCACTGCCGCAAGAATTTTGAGAATCTGCTGAGTACAAGCGTAGCTACAGGAATTAGTAGACACTCACTTTAAAAATGCTTTCTCTTTTGTATTAGCAAGCGTGCTGAAAGCTACACAGGGAGAGGGGGCAAGAGGCTATGTACGTCCGTTTGTCAGCATGCATCATAATCTGGAGCACATTTTTAACTTGAATGCAACAGATACTTTGAGTGTGATCACAAGCCTGCTGGTGTAACTCTATGCTGTGCGTAATTCTGGCACTATAGAGTACAGACACGTTGACACGCAGACACGTTGGAATATTCTGCGGCAGCCGTAGGAACTATGCGCAGCTCGCGATGCACAAATTAGCCAGTGACGTGGGACTTCACGTTTATTATGCGGTCATTTTGGGTATATGGCATCACTTGTTAATAGAATAGCCTGAAATTTCTAGCAGACTTTCCAGATTAATTGTAAAATCCGGGTTGCATGTTGTGATTTAATGTTGGGCTCACATGTTCTCTGGAGCTGTGACTAACAATGGGCAGGGTTTCCTGACCGTGCTCAAAAATTGTTGCAGGGCCCCTTCAAATTAAGCAAGCGTACATGATCCAGTTGTCATTTCTCTCTATAGCCAGCGTGGGTTCAGTTACGTCAGAGCTGATGGTTACATCAAAGCTGATGGTTACGTCAGACCAAGCTACAGCAGCATGCGTGCAATAAGGACTAGCTGGATGCTGTCATTGTCATCCGTTCCTGCTGTCCTGCAGCACCCCTCTACAAACGACGAGAATTCTGGTCTATATCGCTGCTTTGCCGAGCTTCAGGCAGGGGGGATCCTTGCCACGATAGCCATAGCAGGGCCTAAATTCTAGAATGTAGCTTTGCTTACATTAGCACAAGCTCACTAAAGAACTCCAGGTTGTCAGTATTGATACTAGCCCTAGCTCGCTGTAGCATTCCTACTGTCTTCGCTGCAGAGAAAGAGAGAGAGAAAAATTTATTTGTGCATAATGCAGAGCATTCCAAATGGTCGGGCCCCTATTCCAGGGCTTCGCTGGCCATGTGCAGAGAAAGTGACTTGTAGTCGTGCTTGCTTGCATAGATCGCAGACCGATGACGACTGAAACCATTCTGAAATGTCGTCCAAAGAGGTGATCGCGGATGAAGGCGATGAAAGCAGTCCTTAGCTACTTGAAGGCAACATACTTGTACCAGCGGTTATGGACTAATACTGTTATGATGACTGCGAAGTATGACTTCGTGTGCATGTGCTCTCCTCTCTCTCATTCTTCATTTTTCAAACTCTTTCATCCCTGTTCCAGCGTAGGGTAGCATACCTGCCGTTCTAGGCTGGCTAACATCCCTACATTTCCTTTCCCTCCTGTTCCTTCCATTTTTCCCATAATCTTACTGTGGTCGTAACATGGAATACCTGAGAATTTTATCTGTCTTAAATTTGATTTTATGGCATGACAATAATGGTACCTTGCTGCAGCTTACTGTGCTGCAACTATTCTTGATGACATTTAGTGGGCTACATACACTCTGGGAAGAAATAGAGTATTTGGTGAGTTCTTCTGCCACACAACTTGGTAGAAATGTGGCGAGTGCCCGGTTTTCAAGAAAGGAAACTCGAGCAAGTCAGATGATGATTTTCGTTGTGTGGCAGTACTACTCTTCAAACACTCGTTTTTTTTTTCTTAAAGTGTACTTCACTGATCAGCCGAGTGAAAATGCCTTTAAGGTTAAATTGCTGCATTTACAAACGTTATATTTATGTAACTGTAATATTGCAATTCACAAACATGTCGTCACTAGCCCACGGACGAAAATCCTCCAATGCAACTTATTTGACAACTTTACTCCAGAAAGCTTGCACTGCAACCATGTGACCTTTCTAGCGAAGTAGTACTTGTCTGCTGTTTCCCTTTACAAGCAATCACCCAGTACAGGTACTTTCTCAATAAATGGAAGCCCTTTCTGAGAACAGTTTCTACTTGTAAGAGAAAGTGCTTATCAGCCAAGTGTTTTGTGTATTTTTTATGACTATCTTGTTCATATTTTTTATGTTATTTGGCATTTTTTAGACACACTTTCTTGTTTTTTCCTGTTATCTCATGTTGAAGCTCATTCTTCCTTGGACATTACAATGCATTACAACTACATTACATAACAATGGCTGTTATGGCTGCAATATCATTGAGATAAGTAAATTGGGAAGAATTCGTACTCATACAAGTAAATTGGAAAGCATTCAGAAAAGGGCAATTAGATTTATTCATAAGAAATATCAAAGCAGTGACTCCCCTACTTTTCTACTGACACAGTCAGGGATTTCAACCTTGGCTGTCAGAGCAAAAGGAGCTAGTCTGAAAAAGATTCAGTGTATTTCAGTTTGTTGCATTTGTTTGTTGTATTTTGACAAAGAAGAATAGCTCAATTTGTTCTATGCCCATTGTACTAAAACTTGGATTTATATACAACGATATGCCCACCTGCTATGGCCTTGACGAGACTGGCAGTATTGTAAATACATAAGAGCACAGCCATGTGCATCTTGTTCTTGAGGAGTGTATGTTGCCTTCTTAGTCATAGACAGTTCCGCCACACACTTGGATCACTTGTTTGTCTCGTCCTTTCAGAATTTGACATCCCAGGTGGTCATCGTGAACATCTGCATCCACCACGGTAGCCCGCCACCGTACGTGTCGGGACGCATTCAGTGCCCCCAGGGTCTCTCGCTGACCGTTTCCACCAACGACAGTTTGGTGGCGATCAAATACTTCCCTTTCCCAGAGCCTGGCACTTGGTTCCTCTCATTCACGGCAGGCTGCTTTAATGGTTCAAGGTCAGTGGCCTCAATCGGCCTTGGCGCCGTCTGTGATTTCAAGAACAGTGAGTGCGGTAATAACATAAAGCATGCGAATCTCTTTCGTCAAGAACTTGTTTCATAAGGTAACTGATCAGTGCCTGTTGTAACATGACAGCATTAAAAGGCTCAATGCTCAAATTCTGGTGGCCTGACGGTCCCAACATGGGAGCGGCCCGCTGCACGTTGTCATGCACCTCATGACTTCAAATAAAGTTTCGTATCCATCAGAAATTCTGGTGTCGACATGTGCGTCTGCATCATTGGTTGAGTGAAAACTTGGTGTTGGCAGTGATAGAAAATTCGTGATAGGTGTAACTGAATAAATAAGAAAAATCTTCAGTTTGAGTGATTTTTAGTGTAGCATGAGAAATTCTATAAAATGGTAAAATTCTGATTCTCTTTGCACTTTGTTAAGCATCTCTCTCAGGCTAGCCTGCAGCCCATGTTTCTGGATTTAGAGTTCCATTTAGAATTCCATGAAAAGTTTAGGTACACCCAGTAGAGTGTTCTGAATTTAGGAAAGACAAGGCAGTGCAGGGAGACAGAACACAAGGAAAGACACGCAGATACAGAGCAGTGTTGTCATCACTAATTAAAGCGTACATCACAAGCAGCACTGTCTCATATATTTCTGTCCTTGTTTTGCATTGTAGCAGTAACAACCAACAAGTTCTAAATGTGCAGGCTAAAGCTCTGAATATTCAGGCTCATTAGTCAGTCTTTTGTCAGATTTGTATCTAGTTTAGACAACATAGTAAGATGAGAACGAAGAAATCGAGTTTACAGAGCAAGTGTTACAGTACACAGATTGAAACAACTATTGAAAGCTTAAGTAACGCAGATACTTTCAATTCGCGTCACTGTCATCAGTTTGTGCCAAGTCAACACAATTTAGGTTCGAGCATTTACACCAGTGACGGCCACGCCTTTAGCGGCAACATTTGTAGTGGCATGATACGGTAATCTTGAGCGATTGCACATATAGTAAACATTCTGATATCGTGTTTCTGTAAGTGAGCACATTACATCTTCTTGTGATCAAAAGATAGACCACTAATGGCTTATTTGTGCATTATGTTGATAAGTTTGCTGAATTGTTTTTTTTAATGTTAGATGACAACCTTGCCTTCAGAATCACACCAAATGTTGAAGCGTGTCACATAAGTGCTGTTCATTTCTATTCTCTTTAAACATGGAATGCACGGTGTTGGGTATCTAGTAAGCAGTCATAGGCGACCTTCGGTTTCCAGTGTTTGGGGAACTTGAACTTTTGAGCAAAGAATAAAATGAGCAAATGTTCCATTCTTTGCACAGCTCGTGGGTGCCCGTGCGATGCGAGTTGGAGCAGACCATAGTGGACCTTCGAATTCGGCTTCAGCCATGCGTTTTCGAAGGGTCGCCCTGTGGCCAACATGGCTACTGCCAGGAGAATCACTTCCGGCAGTTTTACTTCAGCTCCTGCCACTGTGTGGGAGGTAAGTGCTAGTGCATTATAAATAACCACCTAAATTTTATAGTGGAGCCGTTTTAGATGTGACAAGTGGAGGCGTGCCATCGTTGTTGTCATAGTAGTAGTAGTAGTAGTAGTACTAGTAGTCACGCAAATCACAGTGTCAGAGGGAGGAGAGAATAAAGAAATAAATAAACTAAGTCATGATGCTAACAGTGGCGATGATGATGAGGACTTTCGGTACAAGATACTGGGAAGCAATTTGCACTTCCATTAATTACACTAGTTAGAGACATGCATTAATTGTAATAAACCAAGGTCAAAGCACCTGGAGTGAATCACGTGACATGAGGCATTTGCCGAAACGCCATTGCCTGAGTCGTCAGGTCACAGAGTGTCACTTTGCTTAGTATAAGTGTGCGTGTTTCAAATCTAGAGGCAGGTGACACCACATGCTCATTCTAGTCAATCAAATACACTTGAACATTACTGCTTTGCCGCCTGACGGAACGAACTGAATTTTTTTTTTTTTGCAAAAAATTGGCATCCTGGTGTTGCAGTCTGTCAGCTTGGTCTGTAGGGAAGTTTCCAACATCGATGTACCCTTTTGAGAACTGCATCTTTTGTTGTTCCAGGTTGGCGCGGTTGGGGTTGCACTGACAACAGCAGAGCGACGCCGGCGCCCCTTCTTCTGATGCGGACTCTGCTGCTGACGCTGAGTAACCTGTTCTTTCTGCCTGCCATAGTCCTGGCCACCAGACGGCAGTTCTACACAGAGGCTGTCGTCTATGGGGTCACCATGTTCTTTTCGATGGTACGTCCTTCCAATAGACCAGTGGTTCTCAGCCACGGATGTCTCGGGGACCCCTTGTGGACTGGTGGAAGTGGTGGGGGACCCCTTTCAGTGGAGGAGAGGGAGAGGGGGTATGCAGGTAAATTACAACTGGTGCGTGAAACGGGTGCCTTTTATTGCTGCCAAAAACATCAAGCAAACACGCCACATCACTTCATTTCGGACAGTTTACAATACGTGGTGCAGTCATGCTTGAAGAAAAATGTGGGTGAGGATTTCACGGATCATAGAAATGGCTTCTCAGCGGACCCCCATTTGAGAACAACTGCAGTAGACCATTTTCAAAATGGTAAAGTTAGCTTTTCTGCCATGAAGTTTGAACAACTAATGCTGGCTTGTTCTTACGCAATGACGTGGGAAATGTTGAGTCGCCTCTCTTGATATAAACAATAATAATCGACAAGCCCCAGCACGTTCAACTAGGACCAGGTCTCCGCTTGAAGCATGACAGATGCCGCCATTACTTGTTCAAGTATGCAGTGTAGAGACGCACACTTGCGAATTATGGAAAAAAAAAAAAGGTCCATTGAAGCATATTTCTATTTAACTAAAGGTGTTCTGACATAAGATTATGACAGCAGTATAGCTTGTAAAATTGTTTGGCGTGGATGCACATACACTCAGACCTCGATATAAGGAACCTGGATATAGCGAATGATTGGTTATAACGAAGTGAAAAATAGCTCTGTCATAGATACAGTGCTTCAAATACATGTTCATGACGAATTTTCAAATATAACGAAGTATTTTCGTGGCAGGTGTGACTTTGTTATAAGGAGGTTTGAGGATAGACTCGCATACCACTTACGAAATATTTAATTGCAAGTGCAGCCGAGAAACTATTTAGAATCGGTTTTAGAGTATGTGTATCATGAGTGAGTGCAAAATGCAGCATTTTGCAACCTTGAAATTAGCTTGTGTACTTGTATGGGTTTAATTACGCTAGTTTATTTCACAACAAATATTAGGATAGTACCCTACAGGGCCCTCATGGGGCATTGCATAAGTTACATTCTGGAGTGATTGTCACAAGCATAGCTTTGTAAAAAGAAATACACCCCTGCAACAAAGTGCAAGTCCTTCACCCAGGCATATTGGCAGAACTCGGTGATTTAGGCAGTGAAACACATTAGAACTTCGCTAGAAAGGCAGTATAAAAAACCAATGTGGCAAACAGACAAGTGTCTTTGGTTTTTTTCTACCCCCAATAAGCTGCAAAAACTTTGACGTCAAATCTGCATTGAAAGCAGCACCAGGTATGGAAACACTTTCACTGAATGCTTTGTTTGAGTTGATTACTCAATTCCCATGTGCTGGGAAAATCGTACATCGGCTAGGCTAGTTCAAGAGATGCATCAATGACCAATTCAGAAATCAAGCATTAAGTGTTAAAAAAATGGGGGGGAGGACAAGTAGGGGTTTCATTGTAGACATCTCTGAATGGAGGTGTCAGCTGATTTTACGTTTTCTAGGATACTTTAAAAAAGCAAGGGCAGTTCAGTTCGATTTGCTTTAAAAGCATTTTTTATCAGGAAGAACGATGGTGCATGTACAAGCAAGGTTTCAATATCCTGGCATGTTTCTGAATCTCAGTTTCTGCAGGGCTTCTTTTGACATGCACAGCTGTCACTTGCATCTTGTTACACCGCAGATGTTATCGCATTATTGTTTTCATTGTTACATTTGATTTATAGTAGAACCTCGTTGATTCGTTAAAAAAACCCGCAGAAATAGACATACGATTCGGGAAAACATACGATCCGAATCCAGCAAAAAATGAGGCTGACAAGTCTATGTAGAGATGTAAGAGCAAAAAACATTTATTTCTCAAAAAACATTGCAATTTTTTGCAGCTGCCTCTAACCTTTGGACAAGAAAAGCTCCTTCTGCTCACATTGCAAACCCTTGTTCGCATTTACATTGTTTTTCATGCAAAAGAAGCTTCGTAAAGCTTCCAGTTCAGCAAGGGCTTCGGCAAACTCAGCCAGTTGGTGCATGCTTTCGTTCTCGCCGCTGTCTTTCGGTGCCTCATCCCCCAACTACTTCGCTGCTCTGCCCCCCACTACCTCCACGACAATCTCGGCGACACTTCGTGGCTCGCAGGTTGAGGCGTTGTCATCTATCGAGACGAACTCAGCCAAGGGTGTGTCAGCGCCAGTAAAAAGAACCTCCTCATCGATGTCATCGTCGATGTCAGACGAGCATGTCACAGGGTCGCCTTCGCTGTGTTCTGTGTCTTCTGATTCAAGCTGCCATCGAAAACCGCTCTTTCTGAAATAGCTGCTCCTTAAGCCCGCTGCCATCAAAGTTAACTCTGGAGGCTCATGCTTGCTTAAACCACTTCAGTGGCGCCTCCTCTAGCTCCCCATGGGGGGCTCGACGGGCTTGCTTTGTTGCGCCGTTGAATACCAAGGCATTCGTCTCAGTCTCTTTCCACTTCGACACCACAATATTCACAGTAAATGCTGGCAGTCCCGTTCGTTATGTCGATTCATCATCATCATCAGCCTGACTACGTCCACTGCAGGACAAAGGCCTCTCCCATGTTCCGCCAGTTAACCCGGTCCTGTGCTTGCTGCTGCCAATTTATACCCGCAAACTTCTTAATCTCATCTGCCCACCTAATCTTCTGTCTCCCCCTAACCCACTTCCCTTCTCTGGGAATCCAGTCAGTTACCCTTAATGACCAGCGGTTATCCTGTCTACGCGCTACATGCCCTGCCCATGTCCATTTCTTCTTCTTGATTTCAGCTATGATATCCTTGACCCCCGTTTGTTCCCTAATCCATTCTGCTCTCTTCTTGTCTCTTAAGGTTACACCTACCATTTTTCTTTCCATTGCTCGCTGTGTCGTCCTCAATTTAAGCTGAACCCTCTTTGTAAGTCTCCAGGTTTCTGCTCCGTAGCTAAGTACCAGCAAGATACAGCTGTTATATACCTTCCTCTTGAGGGATAGTCGATTCGCTTCTCCTTAATTGTCAAGGGCTTGTGCTTTTTTGACTCCATGCTAGACGCTAGTGTTTTGAATTATGAGCTATGTGCACTGAGCGACGTGCAGCCTCGCACAGGACCCGGCCGCAGAAAACCTGGTGCGGCATGCGTATTCTTAAATGCTCTAAACCATTCGGCATCGGTGTCAGAGTGGAGAGTGGTCGCCATGGCTTTGATATCAGTCACGTCGTCTATCTCGTCATTGCCGTGGCACAGAGTGCGCGCGCTGTGGAGAACCTCCACGTGGGTAGGCCACGGACAACTGTTGCAGAGCGCCAACAGTGGAAACGTGAGAGAGCTCGCAGCTTGCATTTGCCAGGTCGATGGTACGGGCATGAATACAGGCCCAGCAGGCCGAGTGCCGGCAGCAACTGCCTACCGATGATTCGGCAGCCTTACAGGCCGCGCGCGCTAAATCGCGAAAACCACTGTGCTACAGAAAATGAGAGGCACTTTTTAAAAACCGTTTGAAGACTGTGATGGCTCAGACGGGTCTCTGTGTTGGAGAGGGGTGACAATTAAACGCGGCAAAAAAACCGCCGTTGCCACGCGGTGCCAGTCTGCCACTTCGCGCTTCACAAGCATGTGAGAGCATTTTTTGTTTTTTTCACACCTGAATGAAAATTTTTACCCACGGAACGTATCATACAACTGCAGTTTGCCGCAATGCCGGGCATTGCTGCCGAATAATCGTATTTTCCAGGACCGTATTAAGCGGAATGTATCAACACATAGCTATATGGGGGCAGCTGAGAAATCTTATTAAGCGGGAACGTATCAACGAGGTTCTACTGTATTTGCTTTACGTTGTGATGTTGCACATGCACAGCACCATCACAATGTTTGCTTAAACTCGGTAGGTGTGACTTAAATACCGTATAAAGGCGTGTAAGGGCCGCACTTTTTTTTCAGGAAGTGAGGGCTAATTTTCAGGTTGCGGCCCATACACGGAACTTTTTTTGTGGTGAACTAAAAACAACGTACCGTTTAGTGAACGAAGAGCATTTATTGCAGTATGCCGCGTGTGCACTTAATCGTCGTCACTCGACGAGTCCTCTAACTCGGAGTCGGAGATAGTGTGTTGCGGAGCACCATCATTCCACAAACAGTCATCTTCGGTGCCATCCAGGCTGTTGGATATCCCAGTGACCTTAAAACTTCGGGACACAATGTCCGTCGACACCGAGCTCCACGCCGACAATATCCAACCGAGAACAGTAGCAAGCGGTGCCCTCTTCAGCCGTCCGGTCGGCGTGTGTTCATGGTTGCCGGTTGCCATCCATTCCGTGTAGAGTCTTCGTAATTCAATTTTGAATGGTCGATTCACGCTCACATCCAATGGTTGCAACATTCCTGTGAGGCCGCCTGGAATCACGGCCATGTCTGTGCCGACACGGCGCAGCTGCTCCTTCACCTTATCGGTAAGGTGGCCGCGGAAACTATCCAATACTAAAAGTGAATGTTTGGCCAACAAAGCTCCCGGTCTGTTCTGCCAAACACTTTTCACCCAGTCTAGCACCAAATCATCGTTCATCCATCCCTTCTCTTGGGCTCTAACTATGATGCCCTTGGGGAAAACTTCGTTGGGAATTCTTTTCCTTTTCAAAACAACGTACGGGGGTAGCTTCCGCCCGTCCGCGGTCACACAAAGCATCACGGTGCAGCGTTGGCGCTCAGCGCTGGTGGTCCGCACGGCGACACTCTTCTTGCCTTTTACTTCGACTGTGTAGTTCTCGGGAGAGTCAAACCACACAGGAGTTTGATCAGCGTTCGCTATTTGCGACAACAAATAACTGTGCTGATGGCGCAGGCCGATGACATGCTTGTGAAAACTAAGCACCTTGTCGGTATACCGTATAATGCGGAATATAGGTCGAGGCGGAATATAGGTCGACCCCCTTACCTTGACCAGCAAAAAAAAAAAAGAAAAACGCGGAATCGTTCACTGCTTCACTTTAGTCAGTCCTCACAGTCCTCCGAGCTGTCGGAGCTCTCCGACGACGACGACTGCTTGTCACTAGCCGCCTCCCACAGCATGTCGTCCTCGGTGCCGTCGAGAGCGTTGCTGATGCAGCACTTCTTGAATGCGCGCACCACCATCTCTTCAGGCAGAGACCTCCATGCCTCGGAGACCCAACCACAAACTGTCGCGAGAGGTGGCCTGCGCAGCCGGCCTGTCGGGGTCCGCGGGTTGTCGCCAGCCATCCATTCGGTGTACAGCGCACGCACACGGTCTTTAAAAGGTTTATTGAGGACGACGTCCAACGGTTGAAGTGTTGATGTCATTCCTCCCGGAATGACGACAAGATCCGTCCTTCCGTCGCGAAGGCTCTCCTTCACCGATGCTGTCAAATGCCCGCGAAATGCATCCAACACGAGCATGTTCCGGCGCTGCAGGAGGGCTCCGGGCCGCCGGTTCCACACTGTGCGGATCCATTCGCGCATTAGGGCCTCGTCCATATACCCCTTCTCGTTGACGCGGACGACGACATCCCGCGGGAAGGCCTCCTTCGGCATCGTCTTCCGCTTGAAGATTATGAAGGGGGGCAACTTTCTGCCGTCGGCCGTGCAGCAAAGCATAACGGTGAAGCGCGAATGCTCGCTACCGGTCGACAAAAGCCTCACCTCTTTTGCCCCGCGTTCACAAACAGTCGTGGACGACGGCATGTCAAACCACACCGGCGTTTCGTCGGCGTTGCCGATCTGGCCTAGCATGTAGCCATGCTGCCGCCGGAGGTTGTTCACATAGAGTTGAAACTCTATCAATTTGTCCTCGTACATCTCCGGCAGCTTCTGGCATATCGACGTGCGCCGTCGAAGCGCAAATCCTTTGCGTCGCATAAAGCGACGGACCCAATAAATGGATCCCTTGAAGTCTTTCTTTGACAGGCCGGCTTCACGGGCGAGCTCGACGGCTTTTGAGCGAATGAGCTCCGCATTCACGGGAAGGGATTTGGCACGGTACTCGCGGACGAAATCCGCCACTTTGTCCTCGAGTTCCGGGTGCACAGCTCGGCGACCGCGAAACGACGTCTTCCTCGCGTTACACACTGACAGTTTGGATTTTTGGTTGCGCCAGTATCTGACGCTTTTCTCGGACACTCCAAACTGCCGCTGTGCCGCCATGTTGCCATTCACTTCCGCGAATTCTATAACTTTTCTTTTAAACGCGGCGGTGAACTGGCGCCGCGTCCCGGTATTCATAGCTGGTCGCAGAGTAAAAGTCGCCACTCTCTACGAACACGAAATGAACAAGAAAAGAAAAATGGCGTCGGCAGAGGCGTCGGCCCATGGAGGCGATGTCGATGCTGATGCCCAAAAAACATGCGACACTCCCTGTTGCCAGACGATCACTTTGTTTATGCCAAGGGCCGGTATATAGGTCGAGGGGTGACTTTTTAGCGAAATTTTTTGGAAAAAATCTCGACCTATATTCCGCACTATACGGTAGTCTTCTGGCAGCCGCTGGCACAGCGTGGTCCTTCGCCGAAAAGAGAGTCCCTTTCTTTTCATAAACCTTCGCACCCAGCCAGCACTAGCCTTGAAATCCCCGGCTGGTATATTTTTCGGACGTGCCGAGGCTAGTGCTTTCATGCGCAGCATGTCTGTAGTGAGCGCAAAACCATCGTTCCGCACCTCAGTCACATAGCGGAGCAACTCCTCTTCCAAATCGGGATACTTGCACTGTTTTCCTCGGAAAGCGGGCTTTTTGATATTGGTGTTCTGCAAGGCTTTCTTCTGGGCGCACCAACGTCGAACACACTTCTCGTCAACGTCGAATTTTCTGCCGGCGGCCCGTTTCCCGTGCTCGAGGGCAAACTCGATCACCTTCAACTTATAGCCAGCTGTATAGCTATTCAGCTGCTTGCCAATCGTGCGAAAACGTAAACGTCCCGCAGAAAACTAGCTGGAGTCCCAGAGTCATTCAACGGTGCGCAAAACTCGAGCACATGGCAGGCTGAACAGCACAATGACCAAACAACGCACAAATACCAAAGTTGGTGATGCTAATGCCGATATGGATAGCGCGTTTGTATAGAAGTGTCAGAAGTTAAATATAAAATCCTGCTTTAACCTTTAGTTGGCGGGTGTATGAACACTACTAAAAAAATTAAAAATTTTTAGCCAACTTCATGAACATATTAGCATGAAGAAACCAACAAATTATTCTAATGATGTACTATATGGTGATGATGAGAATTGCGTTCTCTAACGCCATCTACTGACAACGCCTAGTAGCTCACACACGCGCGCGCATTTTGAATACGCATGGGTCAAGGAAAGTGCGGATGCGGCCCTTACACACAACTTTTTTTTTTTTTTGAATATGTGCTTCTTAAAAACGGGATGCGGCCCTTACACGGGTGCGGCCCTTACACGCGTGTATACGGTAAACAGTTTTAAGCAGCGACAGCCCACTCTCTGCTTTTCCTTTCTGTGCTCATCGATTTTAGTGCCTATTCATTTTGTGTTCTTGGATAGCCAACTAGCCCAACAGTTTGTTCTGCCAAAGGAGATCAGACTTCTAGGCTAGTTGGCTATTTTTGAAGAGGCGTGGAGGCCGTAAATTAGGCACTATGGAGAAGCCACTGTGCTGCAGAAGTCTGCCATTTTGCGCTCCACAAGTGCATGAGAAGGGCCTTTTCACATACCTGATTGAGAGATTTTGGCTGGAGAATGTATCATCTAAATGTGCTTTGCCAGAGTGCTGAACATTGCTGCCGAATAATTGTATTTTCCAGGAACGTATTAACATGAATCAATTAACACATAGCTCTATTGGGTAATTTTTAGTTTGCAATATTTTAAGCATAACGGCCAGAAAATCGTAGTAAGCGGGAATATATCAACGAGGTTCTACACTAGTTTACAAAAATCTCATTTGAAATTTGTTAACCTTCAGAAAGACGCATGCTCCTGGACACAACCTCCCCAGCGGCATTTTTTCTTTTTATATGCTCAATTTGCACGGATTAATTTATTAGTCGTTGGTGCTCGACTTTCCCAGTTTTACCACGCCTGCGATGTGGACATGTTTGGCTTCTGCCTGCTCCGCTACGAAGTGCTCCAGTTCTGCGACTTCTTCTCGGCCGTGCTCTCGTTCTGGGTCACCCTGGTGGCCATGGCCAACGTGCCCCCAACACTGGCCTCCATTGCGCACGTGCTGGGTGCCCTGGGTGTGGCACTAGGTGTGCAGTGCCAGCGCACCAGCCTACTAGTCTTCGCCGTGCCTGCTGGTGTCGGGGCCTTTCTGCTGTCTGTGTCTTGGGTGAGCACTCTCCTCTCTATACCTTGGGGATACAGTTGTCCTTACTGTTGTTCAGTACAGTTATGATATGGTTGGTAACAGTTTATAAAGCAGGCATAACCAATTTGTAAGCAGCAGTTGATAGGTGCACAATCGTCAGCAAGCTTAACACAAACACTCCGCCGCGTGTAGTCTAACAGTTTAAAAGACGCTTTTGGATTCTTTTGCCGAGATGTTACCCATGCATGCCGGCATACTATCCAAGCGTACCGAGGCTGTTATCAAGGCAATAGCGCCCAGTGCCTTGTGGCTGGCATCAGTCAAAGTAGTCCAGGTTATGCGTTGGAGAATTCGTGTTAGGCTTGCTGATGACTGTACACACTTGCACTTTATCTAATAATATCGTACGAGTGTCGACGCCAGGATACGGTAGTTTCCTAATATTGTTGACAAGCAATGAAACCACTTATAAAATGATTGTCACATCGCCATTCCAAACACAAGATCGCTTGGGTGACGTTGATTATCTTGTATGCACATTTAGGCAAACAGCATAGTAGATGTAGCTCGCAGGCTAATGTGCTCTTTTTTTTTTTTTCATCATATTGGACTGGCCGCAATGAAGTCACAGAACTGGAGCGCTTCATAGTGCAGCTGTAGCACTGCAGATGACAGAGAGTTAAACTGATCACTGGGATATGACCAGCAGAATCAAAGTTAATAGACCTCCCATTGGAAAGTGGGAAAACGGCAGTACGTTCTCATGTTTCCTCAGCCCCGCCGCGGTGGTCTAGTGGCTAAGGTACTCGGCTGCTGACCCGCAGGGCGCGGGTTCAAATCCCGGCTGCGGCGGCTGCATTTCCGATGGAGGCAGAAATGTTGTAGGCCCGTGTGCTCCGATTTGGGTGCACGTTAAAGAACCCCAGGTGGTCTAAATTTCCGGAGCCCTCCACTACGGCGTCTCTCATAATCATATAGTGGTTTTGGGACGTTAAACCCCACATATCAATCAAATCAAATCATCATGTTTCCTCCTCCTCCATCAATACAACACTGACAAATGTCGGTGCCCAATACCCTTGCCAAGACTCAGTGGAGAGAGAGCTGGAAATCCACCTGCTGCGTAGAGTAGGAAATCTGTCGTCCCTAGGTTGCTATGCCGCTGTGGTGCTGCAGTTGCGGCTGCTGATCGAAAGGCCGGGGGTTTGATTCTAGCTGCAGTGGTAGCATTTCGATGGAGGCGAAAATGCTAGAGGCTTGGTACTGTGCGATGTCGGTGCACATCAAAGAACAACAGATGGTCGAAATTTCCAGAGCCATGCCCTATGGCGTCCCTCGTAATCATATCTTATTTGCTTTTGGTATGTAAAATCCCAGCAACCATTATTATTTGTCTTTAGGTAGTAAGGCTGGGCACCAGAAGAAAAGACACGACCAACACATCATTCTCATTCGGAGGCTGGATTTATCTTTGCGATTTCTGTGCACAGCTGGCAAGAAAGAGACCACAAACACCAGGCTCATGGTTGCCAGAAATTTTCTATGTCACTTTGTATTAAGATAGTTGGCGACGCACAAATGCTTTGGCAAAAGCAGTACCATGTTTAACGAGATGTTTGACATCAGTCATTTTGGCAGGAATTACAAAATACCATATTTTCTCCCGTATAGCCCACACCACAAAATGTTTAATAGCGCTGAAAAAATTGGGCCGCACAATTTATGAATATTTTTTTCTTTTTGTAGAGTTATAGTTACAGATGTGTTATGTGCAGGGGCAGCTTATATGGGAGAAAATCAGATATTTTGTTGCCTTTTTAGGAATGCTCGCTGCCAACAGATAACTATCACATGTAACTTGAAGGGGTGATCAGAAGAAGAATGCTTTATTTTTCAATTTCAGCTTATGAAGACATATAGCATGACTGAATGTAGAATAAAATAGTTATTTGATTGTTTACATAGTAATTACAAACAATTGCTGTAAAATACACTTTAGTTTATTCTAACATTTCCATTGGCTTTAAATATTGTCTTCAGAACCTTGGCACGAAACTATGTTAATTTCACCCACTTATAGACAATGAATCATAATGCATGTCACAGAAAGGTATACGGTGGTCTTACAGGACTGGCTACCTTTCAAATTGAGTTGGGCTAGTTGATTGGAGATAGCTGGCTGAATATTTTATCCTACCATGGATGCATAAATCAGGCATCCATGGTAGGATATCAGGCATCCATGGTAATAACAAGGTATTTACAGCATTATTTTCTATGTATGCATTTCCATCTGTGAACCACACCTCAAAATAAACTGCTGTACACAACTGCTATAGTTTCCTTGAAGGGCCAGTAAACAACCCCGAGGTTCAAAGATTTCTATAAAAAGAAGTATGTGCACTTTTGCTTTGTGAACATGCTGCCTCAAGAATTTTGCGAATACATGCTATATTAAGGAGGTTACAGGGGTTAGAGCATCGGTTTCAGCTGGTTTCAAATTTTCGCGTGACCTCGCCACCCTTCTTCCTCACAGAAAGGGGAATGCGTAGCCCGTCGTCATCACTGGTTTAGACCAGTTGATGAGCTGCGCGCTATGTCAAGTTTCCAATTGGCAACTTTGTGTCGTTGCGCGTGAAAAGCGGATTTGTCAGGCGTACGAAAGGAACGTGGGTATTGCTTTTCGCAATCGAGCCTGTGCGTGGCATGCAGCGCTGTAATGTTCGCAAAACGTAATCGCCACGGTCTACTCTATGAACTGCCGAGCCTTGGTGGGGGGGGGGGGTGTAAAAAAGAAAAGTCTGAGCCTGTTGGCTGGCCTTTCAATTACGTGAAAGTTGCCTTCAATGCTAATACTGGCCAGCTTTCATGCTCTAGACGTCATAATAAAAGCGGAATGTGCAATGTGTACACATTTGAAACACGCTTTTGAATTCATTCTCTGACCCTGGCCCTTAATCAGAACAGGTCTACACAGGCCACAAAAATGCTGCCTCCCGACTGCCAGCTAGTTGGCAATCAATGTGATCAAGCACGGTTGATTGCCCCTGCAGGTTCGCAGGTGTTACCAGTCCCACTCTTGCCAGCCAACGCTGCGCGAGTGGCTGACCAACCTGGTTCCGGGCGTCCTCCTCGCTGGGGTTGGCCTAGTCCTGTTTGCCTTTGTAGAGACCGAGGACAACTACAAGTACATCCACAGTGCATGGCACATTGTGATATCTCTCTCCATCAGTTTCCTGCTACCGAAGCGTAACACGAGCAACGTGGCGCAATGCAAAAATGGCTGCAGTGCCTCCGTCATTAGTGGCGGGGACACCATGCAGTCCATCTACGAGCGGGTGCAGCCCGTGCTGAACAACGACTCGGAGCTGGTCGACATAGCCGACTACCGGCTCGACACGGATCTAACGTCGCTCATCAGAGGCCTCCGCCCGTAACTCACCCGCCCATTGCTCGGCAGCTAAGGTGTTGTTGACGTGCTTGAGAGAGTGAGACCCGCCGAAATGGTCCACGCAAGTTCGCTCTGTGACTAATTGTTGGCGAACTGTTTGTTGGAATGAACTGCTGCTTTGATTGTGACGTCACAGTTGCAATTTGCAGCCACATATGACGCGATGTCATGCAGCGTGAGGCATACTGACAACTTCGGAGCAGCGCTTGAACACAGTCAAACAGTCATACCTCCTTCTCACTCGAGCTTTTATGCCCAGCAATTTCCCAGAGAATCGATGCACTCATCCTCCGCTACGCAGACTGCAAAGAGGTGCACAACTGGCTCAAGTGCACATTTAGAGTCTTATGAACATCACTGATTTCAAAATAGACCAGTTTCACTGATGTAAAGCTTACTGGAAGCTGAATGTGCACACAATCATGCGTATCCTAAATTATGGAACCATGAGCAGGCTCTAGAAGTTCATCAAACCTGCAGGTCTGAATGGCAGTATGATATCCATGTCAGTGAATCTACACACTGCGCACAAAAATGTGTTCACCAACGTCTTTAAACTGCCGTGCAGCACACGAAGCCACGTTTGCAAGCAGCCAGCAAACGTAACTGGCAAAGTCTTGTTGCTTGTCAAATCACAATGGAAATGCTTGATAGCACTGCTCACCCGCTAAACATGCATTACGAGGCTCTATGTGTGAAGGTTGCTCATGCACGCCAACTTGTCACAGCTGCAGTGTCTCGTCTCTTTATGCCATCGTGTGTACATAGTCCCTTTAGGGCGTGCCCCTGGCAGCCGCTAGTCACATAAATATTTCAACTTTATTTACACATCGAAATGAGCAAACAGTCCACACTTGAGCCACAGATTCCTTTGGGCAACCTGATGGGCAGACTTGTTTTTATGGCATGGAAACTGGCAACTACATCAGCAGCTTGGAAACTGCTGACAGGAAACGTTTGGTTCTTAGTGGCCTGTTACAAAGAAAGCAATGACTTTGGTTGTGGCCGCACAGCCTTTGTCAGTGATGTCGTTATTTGACCGCCTTTGGTTCCAGACAAACTGGCTTTTATTTACGACTTTATAATTCTCACTAGCTGCAGTTAGTCATTCCGTAGTTTATTTTTTGATGTGCAGCTTATTTCGTATGGTATGTTGAAGTATAGTGGTGTGACATCTGTGAAAAAACAGTTTTACAGCAGCATGGGCATGCCATCCGCACAAACGTATGCAACTTAGCACACGTCACCCCATTTTGCTAACTGCCAGTTTTGTAATTTAAAAAACATTTTGCTAATCAAATGTCATTGAGGAAGAGAAATGTTCTCATTCAAGTGGGTTTAATGTCACTAGAATCAGTCCCGGAACCAGATGCATTGCGTCAACCATAGAGTTTCCTAAATACGTATACACTAAAGGGAACTCTGGCGCTAGTGTTTATGGTAGCTGCAAGGCATAGCACTTCATCGAGCATGGGAATTATAGGTATGACATGGATTTGCCTAGCCTTTCTACTTTACGTCCGTTCTGGTTTTGCATGGCTTGAAGCTGCTTTGTCATGAAACAACAATCGGCAAATGTCTGGCAGTTACGCTTCACCAACTTAATCTTTTAGGCTTACCACTTCAAATAGGGTCACGAAGTGAAAAGCGGTTTGTTCTCTTCTCCGAAACAAAAACCAAAACACTGCAATAAACGAAGCCGCAAGTGTGTTCGCCGCCCACAAGCACGAAGACTAGGCGAATCTATGTGATACCATAATTCCCATGATCGCTGAAGGATCGCAGCGCCAGTGTCCCCTCTAATGAATTTATAAGGAAACTCTATGGCGTCAACCAAAGGGCAGCTGCAAAACGCACACACCTCGTTCATTGTAAACCTAAGAGTAGCCACTTCTGGCGCAATACAAGTGGCCTTTTTCTCATAGTGTAAAGCCCAGTAAAGCTCACAGCACTTGTTTTTTATTAAGGAAACATGACCCAAGGCATCTTGCGCATGCTCTTTATGTGTCCGGTCTGTACTGATTTGTTTGTCGTGTCTTTGTGACTTTTTATTCCCACAAATCTTACAACTTTTATTGCTGTGTAGCACTCCTTAGTATTGAGTGGCGTGTTATGCACCGAGTGTCATTTGATAGGGCTGTAATTTAGTTGAATTTGGCTCTGTAAAGTGACCATAAGACTTTAGGTTGGTTGCGTGTTTTCGCTCGCTGGCAGGGCGAGGCTTTATCTTAAAAGAAAGCTGTACCACAGAAATTGCTGAACGAATGAAAGGTGGTTCCGAAGTAAAAGAAAGTTGTAACACTTTATTTGAAAAGCATGGTTAGTTCATTGCAAGATATTGTTTGAACAAGAACACGGAAAAAACAAATGTGCATTTATTCAATAGAGAAGAAGTTTATACTAGCATTTGTCATAAAAACTGTCAGGCTTGTTTTTCAACTTAAGTGACACTAACTAAAACGGCTGGGAAATATTTTTGTATGATGTATTGAAAGATATTCAGTGTATTCCGTGCCTTTCTGCAAAAAACTAAACCTTGCAATGGTCCTCAAATAATCGATTTGTTGAATCTTTACTTTCTTTTGTTATTTCCGCATCACTAATAGGCATGGAGGAAGTGTTTTGCTTTGAATTCACAGAACTGACTTTGATGAAGTTTATTAAGGTGAAAGTCATGATATAATGATATGCAAGCCATGTGAAAGAGATGGTGCAGCACCTTAGTTTTTTTTTAGAATTTTCTGGAAATTAAAAATGTTTGCGAGAAAACAAAAGAAAGCCATAGGCTGGTAGCCCCAAATTTACAACAAAAGCATGGGCATCAGAAGCCGCCAAAACTTAAGCTACAAGCTATCATGCACCGATTTCAAGTGTACCACTAGTGTCCATACGAGACTCTTTGCAAAGATGTTGATATCGCTGCAATACTCTCAGTTCTACGACATTTGAGGCTATAAATCAGCATTCTGCTTTGAACAGCTATTATGGCTTCCTATTTTCATTGAAATGATTGTCATTAAGATTACATCAATAAGAACATTTCAGTATCGACCATCTTTGGCGCCGAATTTTGATATGGCGAATCAGTGCTGAAAAATATCGTAAGAACGAGTGATGCATATGGAAGGAAAAAACTTTTATGTGCACCCATTAGCAGCACTTCGCATGTGTTACAAGTGTTACACAAACCTCAAACAACTAATTTGCCAGCGTGCGAGATTCATGTGATAGAGTTGCCACAACTTTGAAAGTATGCGTCACCACTTTTTTAAAATTTCATCCCATTTTTTTTCCTTTTTTTTTTGCGAATAGGCAGCTTTTTTCCTCTAAGTACTTTGAGGGATTGTACGGGTGCCTGTCCTTTGTGTAGACCTGCTGTGCACGACTTGTACACATTTCGCAGCAATCCAGCCGCATAATTTGCTGCAGTGCGGCTGCATTGTGCAGTTAGCGCCGACTACTCAATCAAAATATGCAGTCTGGCTCCGAGTTTTTGATAATGCCCTGGTCAAGTTCTTGTATTTACTTATATGGGCTATAGGTGGCAAATACTAGGTAGAGTGTGCAACGTCGTGGCCATGGCTGCCAGGTCTGGCAAGTTTGCGCTGTATGTTCAATAGTCGTTACAACGAAGTCACGTTTGAAATAACAATAACATTGTCATAACCGATGTTCACTATAAGTGTGCATCTGTTACACTGTTAACAGTAGTGAGACAGTTTCACTCAGTTTGTTATACCATATCGTTATTCGTTATATCTGCATTTGTCATACTGGGGTTCGAGTTACTGCCTTCATTTAAAGCTTCTTGATATCGAGGATACTTGGCTTCTACGCAACTTGGCTACTTATTGTCTACTTTTGGCAAGTCGTCGTGTTAACATAGATGTATCAATCTTTAGATTATCTCCGTTTGAGCAATTCAGCTTGCAAAAACATCACATAAATAGCTGATATTTTTTAATGTGCTTACTTATCCAGCACCGAAATCTTGTAGCAGATGCATGTCATTTGACAGTTAAGGTGCATTCAGCATGACAAAAATGCTGTTGTAAGTGAAAAATTTATTACTTGGCAATATCTACCAAAAAACATTTAAATTCTTCATTTTAGCCGAATTCCTTTCATCTGCATTTATTATGTCGACACATTTCTGTAACAAAGAACTATTTGCGAGAGAGGATGGTAAGAAGCTTTCCCCACAAAAGCTTGTAAAGCTCGTCGTCAGAATGCCACAATAGGTTATTTTGCTTTGGAAAGCCTAAGAACCGAATTGCTTTTTGTAACGTTTGATTGTCCCGTCTTTGAGTGGGATTAATATTGGCCCTGCTTCAGTATATTGTATTGGCCATGCTTCAGTATATTTCACTGACAATGTAATTAGCTAAAGCTAGTCAGATATAAAGTTGCTGTTTGCCACATCTCACGACTGCTTGTTGTAAAATTCCGGGAAAGTTGGAACAAAGCAAGAGAGACAAAGTGTGTTTGTGTTTACTAGTCTTTTCGCAGAGCCCTAATTTTCCTTCTATGTGTTTATGCTTTGTACAGTTTTATTTGCATTCTACAAGTGTCTAGTCAAAAAATTTTTTTTTCTTACATTTTAACGAGTGTTATAGTATTCATGACAGCAAGCCTTTTCTTGCTGCCTTGAAAGAAGAGCCCTTGCCTGCTGCTATTAGCTGTTGAGAATATTGCCAATTCATCAAAATGTTCTAGCAAGGATACTTGTATCAAAGTGCATTTGTTCATGTTTGTTTTGTAGAGCGCTTGCTCTTACTTTGTTCTTGGTCTGCTCTTCTTTAGGCGAGTGTGTTACCTGTCAAAGCATATGTGAAATAAGTTCATGGTCTACTTAAAGGTGAGATTACCCAATTTTAATAAAAGTCATCACATATAGAACATCAAAACTGTGTGAAGCTTTTGTGGCAGACATTCTCGTTTGGGCACTGAGCTCCCAAGAAATTGATGAAATCAAAGACTTTGTAACCACTGAATCATCATATTCATAGTTTTGTTACTCAGTCATAAAAACAGATGCCGCACTTTGGCTATACATATAAACAATGTTCAGCACAATACGTAAAGCAAAGATATCCATGTCATAATTATAACTTGGTTGCATATGTTATATTATAACTTGGTTGCTCTGAAATAAGTCTATGATTTATTTACAGCACTGTCTTTGAATATTTTTGAAGAAAACAGTGGTGTCATGTAAGCAAAGTAGTCTACAATGCATGCCCACCTCAGGGGCTTGAAGAAATACTGTTTATGGAGTTACTATTTCCGCTCTTACTCATAAGTAGTGCTTATGCTACTTCAGCAATTTTTAGCAAGTCGCACAAAACGTTCAAAGGCTCAAATTAAACTTTAAGCACCACGAAGTTGGAACATTTTTTTTAGAGATTTATTAAATAGTAATCAAATGGTTTCAATGACCTGGTTAGAATGTTCATGTTTTACTCATCTGTGTTTTTGAAAACAGGAGTCGGCAAAGCGAAGCTCACTTATAATTGTGGGTACTATTTCAGAAGCGCTACTGCATGAAATAAGCTCATGCAACGTAGGGGAGTCCCACATATCAGCAATACATGATGTACAAGCCATCTTCATTCTTGTTTAACAAGTTGTTCCATGTCGTCACTGTCACCGTGTGCGTAACTTGCCCCCAACAAATGTCTGTACGTAGCCGAAAAAACCAGAAATGGTTTCAGGGTGTTGTGAGGCAGTGTTAAGTTTTTAAAATGTTGTTCCATGTGTGTTTGATTACTTTCTTCTCGTGACAGCGGGGGTTTTTCTTTCTTGACACTGAGGAATGAAAATGGAACCGCTAGTTTCGTGCATTCGTTAAGTGTACACCCATCACTTCAAAAGGCAGCTTGCGTACGTTGTGTGCGTGCAGGTCGTGAAACGCTGATGTAATCTTTTGCAGCAGTAAAGAAAGCTGATATTTTCTTTTTCCCAACTGCTGTGTCTTGTATTTTTTCTCATCATCAGGCTAATTTACGTCCTCTTGGTACAAGATGCTGCTCCCAAGGGATCTCTAGTTTGATGCTCACCTGCGTTTGGAAACTCTCATGCTATGCCTGCAACATTCCTCTTGTAGAAGAAATAAGAACTTGCAGACTTGAACACAAAGTAAAAGAAAACAACAACATTAATGCTAACTACCGAGTGAAAATTTGCACTTTACTAATTATTTAATAAATTCCTGTCAACATTGTTAAAAAGTCTTCACACTTCTATCACACCATCCGTATGCCTTATTCACCAGCAGATTTCTCTAAACACAACAATGAATTTGTCACAGTTAATATTGGCTACGGTGTTGCGCTGCTTAAAACAAGGATGCAGATTCGATTCCCAGCTATGTGGCCATTTTGTTAGTCTCGTCTAGCAAACCATTTTGCCATTGTAACTATTTCGCCAACTTCTATCTCATAATTTTAATAATAAATGCTGAATGACAAAGTTATTATGAAAAAGTTATTATTATGACAAAGTTGCATGTGTAACAAAAGTACCTTTTTCTCTACATTTCATACCCATCACATGCCCATATTAGCAGAAAGCATCTTAAATTTACTTCGGTATATCTCTCTCTACTGTAGTGAGGTTTGACTGTCAGCTCGAACCCATTTAAATATGATAATATCAGTAAAGCGTAGAAAAAAAATCAGACGATACTTTGCTTTGCCTTCAAAAGTAGATCGCTATGCCTTAATCCAGAGAGTTCATTATATATACACTAAAGGGGGCTCTGGTGCTAGTGTCTATGAAATTCGAATGTTGCAGCTTCCATGAGTAATCAAGTTGGCTAATTATGTACAAATGATGCACTAATAATGTACAATGACTAATTAAGTACCCATCATTCATGAGAATGACAGGTAGTACACAGAGTTCTCTAATCTTCGTTTCTTTTGGCTCTGTTTCCTCTTTGCTGCAAGATGAAGTTCAGCAAACTTAAAGATCCCCAAGTCGTCAATTTCTGGAGCCCTCCGCTGCGGCGTCTCTCATAATCATATGGTGGTTTTGGGACATAATACCCCACATATCAATCAATCAAAGTTCAGCAAACATTATTCTTCACCACCTTGACTTTTTTCAGGCTCACCGATTCTCATCGGCTCACAAAGTTCACAAAGGTCTGTTCTTTTATTTGAAACAAAACTCGACAGCAGCAATGAACAGTCACTAGCGAGTTCAAAGCCTGCAAGCACGAAGACTAGGCAAATGCATGTACTACCCATCATTCTGATGGTGGCAGTATGATCACAGCACTGAAGAGTCCAGTCTAGTTCATTTTAGGAAGCTCTATGGCGTAACCGATCATTGGAACTGCTGTTTGTTCCGAACTACTCATAATAGCCGTATGCTGTTGTTGTTCTCCTATTGTTAGTGGCCGTATGCTTTAGCATATGACCAAGAGTCTGCAGCGCCCCCTGGTCAGAAGGGGCATGCAACGTTGATTTGCAACTTCCGATTATTTTGTAAGCCAAACATGATGTTGACATACCTCACTTGTTGCGACGACGTGCTGAAACTAAATTCTGCCTAATCCCAGCTGTGCCTTGGCCAATTAACTACGGTGGTTACGAGGCATGTTATCAAAATTTTAGAAGAGATACCAGCTCAGGAACTGTAGTTCCTGCATATATAGCTGCAAGTGCAGTACAATATTTTAATTTTATATTCATGTTTCACTGGAAATCAAACGAATAATTTGAAGTGAACCTCTTGGTTTCTATTTATATTGCTATTGGTGCCAAAGGTAGCAATGAGGGAGGGTCCCGTGAGGCTACAGTACCTTGCTCCCCCTAATTCAGAACCCTGGGCACATTTATGGATACAGTTATGGATTCAACTCCAATCGCCCCATTCTTACCAAGCACACCAATTCAAATGGAAGGAAATACTGTCCGTCACAATCAACGTAGCATTTGCACGAAATATGGCAGCCAAAGTTGCGTGCAACATGCATGAATGTTATAATGCAAGATGCCGATACTAGCATTGTTGTGGCAAAGGTTTGTTTATTTCTATTATTTTTGCTCTATTACGAAGCACAAAGGGGATAAATGTGATACTAAGTTTGAAAAAAACAATCAGAGATGCGCCATTACTGCAGAATGACTTAAATTAAATACAAGAAAACAAGTGTTTGAAATGTCTAACCTGACAGTTGTTGCAAAGTTCAGTTGTAAATTTGGGCAGCATCACTTTTATGTTATCTAGAAAACAACCAGCGGTATAATGAAAATTGACTTTTGCAAAAACAATTCATCAGCTCAAATTGAAAAAGTTTTTTTCTAGTGCAATATGAAACACAAATTGTAGCAGGATTGCAGTGTAGAGGAAGTCCGTCAACAACACCAGGGAAAGAGTAAAAAAGGCAATTTATTTACAAATACATCTTTTTCAAAAACCTTCCTTTCTTTTTCCCCTAGTCCTTTAGCTCATCTTCATTAGTAGATATATGACGAGGAACACAAACAAGGAGAAAATCATGAGGTAAAAGATGTAGCGGTTGTGGCCGGCCCTGCTCATCTTCACAAGTCGGCCCATCGTCGATTTCAGAATGCCCTCGCCAGCGTCAAAGTCCGTGTTCATGTCATTTAGCATTTTGTTTTGGTACTTGACTTCATGGCCAATGTCGATTGACACCTGTTGCATAAAGAACAGCCATAATAAAACCTGAGAATTTTTTTAGTGCACTAAATTCATGCTTAAAGGGACACTAAAGTCAAATAACAATTTACGTCATAGTGAAAGCTCAATGTATGACAACATCTGAAATGACATTATTATCAACAACAGTGCCCTACTTACCGAGAAGCGCCGCAGTAGGACACTTTCAAAATGATCCCGATGACATCAGAAGGATCGCCTACAATTAATCACTACTTATCTAATTCCACTAAATAAAGAACCTTCTGTACATTAAGAGACGCAACAAAATGTTGTTCATTTCTGCTTGATTCATGGAAAAAAGAACCGCCAGACGTTACTATGGGGAATGGCACGAGTGGTTCAAAAATTCAATTTTTGCGTGGGTACATGGGACAGGTGGTGCCATCTAGTGGGGCGCAGTTGAAACAATAAACCTCTGCAATCTCGAAGCCAATGGCGGGAAATTTATCAATGGCTGTTGTTGCTGCTGTGGCTCCTGCTCCTTTCAGTCTGCTGCTACTAGCGCAGTAAGGCCGGACAACGTTGTGCACAGCAACAGTGTTGGAATTGGTCCGGTCGGTTCGTTTCTTGAAGCGGGTAATTTGAAATGCGCTAACCCGATGCGCACCCTTAAAACGTGATTTCATTTAAAATAGGCTCTTCCTTGGCGCAAAAGTAACACTACGGGGTTTCTGGGCCACTATTTCAACAATCAATGTCGACTTAATCGTTGCCTTTAGTGTCCCTTTAAGGCATGCAGTAGGAGGAACTGCAGACTACTTTTGACCACTTGGGGTCTTTTAACGTTCACTTATATATAAATGAATGTTGCTGCATTCCACAGCAGTGAGAAACAGATCCGTAGTGATGGACGACGGGACCCACACCCCAATACAGCTGCCATGGCATACGAGAGTTCATGTTATGTTGGGTGCCCCACCCAACTATAGCCAGTTTCAAAATATGCCGGCCCATGTTATGATGATGGCCTGACCAAATGCATGTTGCCGATTACCTCTTGCGGTAAGTCACACAATTTTTTTTTTCATTTGACTTCATAGTTAGGAAGTGTTAATTAACCAACATCTAATGTATTGAAGCTGGTCTAGAAATTCCGATTAAAAAGTTGTACATAAGATTACAATACATCTGATTAGACAGTTTATAACTTTCTAAGTTATATTGCTTTTCTGCTACCAGCAGATATCTGCAAAATATAAATAAATACCACATGACATGTCCACTTTCATAGTGTGACTGCAGTGCTATGTAACGTTCTACATAAACAATATGTTTACCTCCCAGTGGTTCATAACAGTGATACGCATAAGCAGCGGTTGTCGCTTGTGCTGCTGCAAGCAAAAAGTTTGTGAATGCACAGCCACCACCTTCATGACTGACCTGTCGCCTCTTATGTTGCAGTACAGGTGGCTGAATGCTGTGGTCTACGCGGGCATTAAGGTAAAGGAGCGCAGCAATTGTGATGCGCCCGGGGCTACTGTATATGGATAACTCCAGCTGTACAAGCAGATGTGTCTCACAGTACTATATTGTATTTCGTGGGCATCTGAAGGAAGCAGGAAAAAGGCTAACGCTTAAAGATTGAAAGTCAGAAACTGCCCTAATTGAAGGTTTGCAAACCTACGTACAACTTTATAACTGACATCTTTTGTCCATCTTGAATGCTTCGAAAGTTAATATTATGTAATTAAAAAGTTAAGCTGAACACACACACAAAAAAAATCAACTTGCTCCATGCAATAGTCAGCAATGTTCATATAGCTGCATCATAAAGTGCATAAATATATTTTTAAATCCTGACTATGACAATTTTTTTTTTACTGCAGAAACAAAGTGACGCATCGCTGATGAGCCAGGATAGATGACAGCAATAAATATTCAACACCACAACCTGATGGCTAAGCTCTTACAATTAGCAAGGTACATAATAAAACATTTCTCCTGTTTAATGATTTCTATCTTTCCCATGCATGCAACGGGATTGCACAGCTGGAATGATTCGCCGCAAATTTCGTGACAATACCGCTTGCTTGGTTCTCAAAAAAAAAAAAAAAACTGGAAAGATTAACTCGTAATGATGCACACATTTTACAACGAAACAGGGATTCTCTGGGTTCTACTAAATGGTAGAATTTAGGTTAAATGCCGGCAAGGAGGGCACTTTTGTTGCACCTTCTTTTTAAACACAAGCTCCTACTCTTAACGAGCAACTAAATGGATCGACTAAATGGGATTCGTTTCGCTGCGTGGACCAACTTAACCACTGCTTCTCCAAATCGCTGCACGCGACAACCAGTGTGGGATAACATATAACGCCATACGTACCGTCTTCAGGGCCGATATCTTCGATTTCAAGCCGTCGATGAGCTGAGAATTCTCCTCCTCCACGGTGTCTCTGTAACTGGATCCATCTGGAAGGTACACGTCCAGGTGTAATCATACGAAACTCGCGCGGCGCGATCTGGCGTGCATAATAAGAAAGAGTACGTATTTTGTGAAGGAAAGTTACAGGCAGGTAACGCCGCCAAGTGGAACGTTGTCAGAGCACCGTCGTATGAGGAAGCAGGCGCATTTATTTCATTGAGATGATCCAAAATAACGACGACTGTCCTTGCGGTCGTTTGGTGTGCTGTCGCCGCAGGCATTTACATAAGCAAAGTTTAAGGCGACTACCACGCATACTCAGGAAAAGGTCTACTGCTAACCGGTTTGAAGCGGCCAGGCGATTTAGCTGACACAACAGTGAACACACCGATACCAGCGTCGAAAAGATCGCACCAACATAACGAAACTAGTTTAATCGTCTTTGACAGACGTCCTGTGAAAACAGCTGCTCCAACAAGTACGCAAGCATCGGCAGATATGCAATACCACGGGGCTTAAGAAGGTGGAGCGTACTCACTGGGATATCCTTGTGAGGAAGCTTGGGCTCGTCGCATTTTGGCAATATTTTCGGTGGCCCGCCGAGTATCAAAACTTGCCGATAACTATACAAGATCCATTCGGCACAGCGGCGCGCTGCCCAGCGCTCGAGCAAACAGACTTGTGCTACGTCATCAAAGCGCGTCTTACGTCACTGCAGCTACGTCACGTATAGTATCAGTGTAGCCTGACCAGAGCCACTAGAGCTAGAAAACCACACTTTTTAGCCGTGCCCGTTAAATAAACAAAAATATTTTGGTGTTATTGTTCCAAAAAAACTTTGCAAAAAGTTTAATATAAATGATTCTAATTTTTAAAAGTTTTTCGCTTGAACCAGGTTCAACGTTCGATACTAACTCAAAACTTTCGGTTTCTAAGTCAGCGGACTTAGAAACCGAAAGTAGATAAGAATTGTCAACTAAGCCGCGCTAAAATTTTGCCGTTGAAAGCCGAGGCAATCCGCAGTTGTAAACTCCGCAGTTCTGTGTTATTGAGAAGTGCCGTGAAGCATCCGTGAAGTGCGTTTTTGGTTCGGATTATTTTCTAGCTGTTATTTCTGCTGCGGATTCTCCGAGACTGCTGTGACAGCAGTCCGTGGGAGACTCCCAGTTTCTGTTTCTGACCTCCCAAAATGGTAAGTAGACAGTTTTCTTTCACAAACAGAACCTTGCTGTTTTTTCTCTGTGTATTACTCGGATTGGTTGATCTTTCGGAAATCTGAACTTTAGGATATGGTCGGTTGTCTTGTGCTGAGGCCACGATGATGCCACATCGAGTGTAGTAGTGTATGTGCCCCTCTTTCTGGGACAACCGCTTATCTGTGCAATACAATTCTGGACAGAAACAGCCGATCGAATTCAATATTTGCGGGTCCGCCCGTATCCCGGCCGCCTGTTTACAAAGCCCTTCCGTTGATCGCAGCTAGATACCAAATAATGAGTGTCACGTCAACTTAATTTTGTCTTGTACGACGATTGCTTGTTGTAGGACATATTTTTTCTTCTTCTCCTACCTGTGACAGTCTCTCAGCGGCCGATGTGTCGCACTAGCTAGTAGAGTGTGTTGTAGTGCTCGTACTTGGTGGTACCCAAAGAAACTCTAATGTATACAGCTCTGGTTCATCTTAGAGGGATAACAACGAAAGTGATTCGACCTTGTCCCTGAGAGGCCTGCAACCTACTCTGTACCGCTTCACGGTTCTATTTTGTCATCGTCACTACTGCCAGGGGCGGGGTCTACAGTGCCGGCACGTACAACACAACCTGCTGTGAGCACGTTGACAGCTTGGTCGTGTGATTGCAGCCATCTAGTCGGAGCGCAGTGCCAGTAATATTCTTTTCTGCCTACCCTGCCGGCAAAATGCAGTTCCTAATCATGTTTGTCATTGTAATACTCAAGCATTTATCTTTCTTTTTGACCAGGCTGAGAGGAAGGCAGTGAACAAGTACTACCCGCCAGAATGGACTCCTGGCCATGGCTCGATCAACAAGTTCCGCAACTCTCACCCGCTGCGCGACAGAGCCCGGAAACTGCACCTGGGAATTCTTGTCATCAGGTGCGTACACTACTTTGTTCTATTGCGAGACGCTAGACGAAGACCAGGGCTGAACCGGTGCAAAGGGACACTTGTGTGAAGCAGTGGGGGTGCTTACAACGATAACGTATTCATTTGGGAACTCCCTGTGCATTAGTCCCACAATCTCATGATCACGAAGGAAGTTTTGCTGCAAGTAATAAAGACGCTTTGTGACTTGCTGGTTAACCTGAATGCCACATGAGCAGGGCTTCCCAGTCACAGAAATTTGCTTTTCATGTACAAATCTTTATCGTAGTGTTTTTTGGTGAAGATTGCTATATTTGAAAAAAAAAAATCTTTGTTGCGTCCTGATGCTGTCCACAAGATTTATAGTTTGGTTCATGGGCCACTGCAGTGGCTCTTTCACAAGAGAGAAATGAAAAAGTAGTCATGTGCCACACCTTTGGTGTATGAAGGAAAGAAGTGTATATTTAAAGGAGCACTGACATCAAATTTACTTGTGTCAAGATTTTTGCCACAAGTAGCTATCGACCCCCTAGTAGCGATTCGCGACCTAAAATGCATCTGATGTGCGAATGAACATCTGTAGTATGATAAATATATCCTCTATCGAACATGGTTCAAAATGGGTCGAAAGCCCGCCAAATTGTAGTGCTGTCAGTGCTACCTCGTGGCCACGTCGAGGCCGCTGCACAGCTGACCCTCCTTCCACAAAAAATGTTGACGTCGTGCACACTGGCATTACGTCTGCTAGGAGCGCACGTGCAGTCAGTCCAGCTGTGTCTCTGATGATGTAGACTAAAGCCCCTCCACGCGTTTTCCGCAGGTTAGGTTAAGTAGCGCCAACTCGTTCTTCCCTTCTCCCTTTAGCCCCGGCCTCGAGAAGAGGCCTTGTACTGCCAGTGAAACCTAGCTGGTTCGCCAACACAGGATTTACCCTGTAGCAGCTCGATGCAAAGTGAAGTGAGCAAATGGGGCTGTTCTTCACAGGTGTCCTGTCCCTCTGTCCATCGGCGTGTATGAAGTCAACCCACTGACTGCGTTGAGGTTCGTGGCTTGGAAAGGCATGAAATGCCACGCAATTTCCGCGTTTACCGCTCCTCGATGCAGGTTCTCACTGTGCAGTGTTTCCCTGACATTCTGTCAGGTATAGTCACTCTGAATGATCGTACTCACGCTGTGGAGCACACGTCAAATCAGTCGATGCGACACAATGGATCGCACGCACGCTTCAACGCAGCAAGGAGAGCCATTAGTGGGAACTTGGCCGGGAGTCGGCTCCAAACCCACTCAGATTGTCGACGTCATTGTTACTAGCTTATCGTCACTCAGGATGGTATTTTTGGAATTTATCACACCGAACACGTAGCACTAGTGTCGATGTCGCAGGGCAGTCTGTTTTCTGTTTTTTCTCCTTAGCTTTTCTATGCTATTTGACATCGAAATAAAATAACTTTCACGCGATGGGTGCCATTCAAATTTGTCCAAGAAGACCTATGCATACCAAGCGATAGAATGATGGGCACATCTCGTTCTTGAAATTTGATGTCAGTGTTCCTTTAATGGCTTGTTTTTTTTTATTAGTTACAATTTTAAAGAGAAGCTAACGGCAACTTTCAAGTCTACATTGATTGTTGACATAGCAGTCCAGAAACCTTTTAGTGCTACTTTTGTGCCAATGAAGTGCTTATTTTGAAATAAAATCATGTTTTAGTGGTCTGCATTGGGTGAGCGCACTTCAAGTTACCTGCCTCGAGAAGTGGACCATTTCACGTCACCGTGGCCGTGCACAACGTTGCCCGGCTTTACTGCGCGGCCGCTGACACTAGTAGCAGCTGAACAAAAGCAGTGGAGTCACAGCAGCAACAATGGTCATTGATCAATTTCCTGCCATTGGCTCCAACATGGCAGACGTGTCTTGGTTCAACTGGGTCCCGCTAGATGGCACGATCTGTTCACTTTAACCATGCAAAAATTGAATTCTTTAACCGCTCGCGCCATTCTCCATAGTAACATCTGGCGGTTCTTTCTTCTATGAATTAAACAGACATGAACAAGCAGCATTTCATTACGTTGCTTGATGCAAGGAAGGTTTTTTATTTAGTGCAGCTAGTTTGATCACTAGTGATTAATTGTAGGGGGTACCTGTGATGTAATATTTCGAATGACCTATCATAGCGCATGTGTTCTCTTGCATTTACCTTAATTTGTCGCTGAGCAGGGCACTGGTATTGATAATATTGTCATTTTATACGTTGTCATGCATTGAGATTTCACTCTAACATAAATTTTTATTTGGCTTTAGTGTCCCTTTAATGAGTTCTTACAGGCAATCATGCCAAGGAAAGTATAGAGGATGTATATATGAGGTAACTGTAATGTAAATGTGAATTCTCATTTACATTACAGTCACCTCATAGAGCATCCCCCATATTCTCTTTGGCATGATTGCCTATTAGACCTCCTTAATACCTTTGCTGTACGTTCACAAGCGGAGGGATTCGACTTTAGTATTTGTTGTGCCCCTGTTTCACTTTGATTCGTTACGTTCCGATAGTGAATGAACAAATCGTTGATGTGGGATGACTTCATTCACCAACAGTCTTTAATAAATGTAATTTTATAATGTTGCTTCAATAAGACTATGTCACCAGGCCGTGCAATACTTGCAGCTAGGTCTATTGGTTCATATTCAGTAATGACAGAGGAGAGCTAACTAGAGCACGCACATCATATTCGTTTTTCTTTATTCATGCTCTGGTGCCATCCGCCTCGGTGGCGTAGTGGTTATGGGGCTCGGCTGCTTACCCGCAGGTCACAGGTTCAATCGCGGATGTGGGGGTCGCATTTCGATGGAGAGAGTAATTGTAGAGGCCCATGTACTCCGCGATGTCATTGCACATTAAGGAACACCAGATGGTCGAAATTTTAGGAGCCTTCCACTACGGTGTCTCTCGTAATCATGTCGTGGTTTCGGGACGTAAAACACCAGCAGTTGTCATTATTTCATGTTCTGGTGCTTTTAACTTTATCGAGCATTCCTTTATTTTCACTGGGCACACAACCTGCCTGTACGCTCATGAGCACTGAGATTCATTATTGTTCGCTCAGGTTCGAGATGCCGTACAACATTTGGTGCGAAGGCTGCGGCAACCACATTGGCACGGGTGTTCGCTACAACGCGGAGAAGTCCAAGGTGGGAATGTATTACACGACGCCCGTATACAAGTTCCGCATGAAGTGCCACCTGTGCGACAACCACTTTGAAATCAAGACTGATCCGCAGGTAAGTAAGTGGTCATTGTTGCATTTGGAGAAAAATGTGCCCTCTTTTCTTCTTTTTTGTAGTCGCCGTCATTTTGTTAACCCAAAAGGTCAAGTCCGATTTATGTTTGTTCTGCCAGTTTGTGCTGTTACTGTGAAAAGTGCATCCTGCTTGTGAAAAGCGCACTTTGCATTGTTTTTTTCTGCGACAAGAAGTCACGTGCAGAGGCTTGTTTTACCATTTTTCTATGTGTGGGCACATCATTTCATAGTTTATATTCATTTTACTGCTGTGAAGGAAAACAATAATAGTACACACATAAAACATATATGCTTTGAGAAAACTCTCAGTTAGCATTTTACAAAATACATCTGCAGTACACAGGTTGTCATGCACTAAATGCTTACTTCGATGTGAGCACAATGTGCTAAGATTTTCCCATGTAAGAAGGTTGGTCATGGTAGTGCTGCGCAATAATACTTAAAACTTATTGGCTTGCTCATGTGGATGTTTTGGTTATTGCTGTAGAACATGCGTTGCACAATATCAAACTTTTGTTTGGCATATATAAGGAAAGAAATACATGCACTCCATCACTTCCCAGTAAACATGTTTATGTCAAGCCATATTAAATGGATTTGTCCTGAATTTATCGCTTCGTAAACATTGTTAACCTCCAGTTCTAATGCAAAGCTTGTTCTAGACTAAATTATATTAAAATTCTGGTTTGCTACACTTCTACTGAAAATAAGCTCTAAAAGCATCAGTTCTGAAAGTAGCACAAGTATTTTAAACACATTGACAAGCTATTTAGATGTGTTTGTGCATGTATGGAGGCATTGCCAAGCTTTAGCACTTCAAACTTGGCCTTCAGTTCTAGAACCTGCATTCCTCTTCCAGCCTAGTGCCTGAAGCTTCCTGCGTTTTAGCTCTATTCTTTAAATTCTAACATCCCATCTTTCTGTTTAGAACATGGACTACGAAATCATATCGGGAGCAAGGCGTCAAGAACGGCGGTGGGACCCAAGTGAGAATGAGCAGGTTGCTCCAGATGGTGAGGTTCCTTCCTTTTCTTCTTGTCTGGAGTGTCTAGCACTTAAACTTTCGATAAACATACGTGGGAAGAGGGGCACATGAGTGTAACTTGAAATGGTATTGTGCATCCCTCCTCGTGGTGAAAGCTTCTGCCGCTTATCTGGCGCCCTGCACACGCTGGTCAGAAAGGGAATGAGAGAGCAGACTCTTTCAGATCAGTGCAGAGTGCTAGCCTCCCACTATTACACCCACTTCGTGGTGCCAAACGACGTTCCTTTAAATTTACGGAGGCTAAGTGAAGTGTACCCAATGTTGCTTGCCTGTGGTGCTGCAGTTTGCCTGCTTTATACTACCACATATCATGGGCGTGTGACTGAAAAGCAGCCATTTCTAGGCATCAACCTTGTAAACAGCTTGCTGGGTGGGGGGCACTACTCGTCAACGCAGACCCAGCACTGCAACCAGCACTTTTGAGTCTCATCAGGCATGTAGCAAAAGCTAATTAGCCCTTCGACTTGGTTCACCAACCAGCATGCTCCCGACTCTCCCTTTTTTCTACCCCTTCCCTTGAAATAAAGTTTTGTTCTTCTTGTGCCCTAAACATCTTATGAAATATGTTGCAGCAGCAAGGACTTGTTTTGCCCAATCCCATTTTTTGCTCGTACAGTAGCTGGCTACATAAGTCGGAAAACTTGATCATGTGTCCACTCAGATCAAGCCATGAGTCTGAGTGAGTCCTCGTTAGTTTGAGATCAATTTTAGTGAGTCTGAGTTCAAGTGAGTTCGGTTAAAGGAAATTTTGGCGAGTCTGAGTCCAAGTGAGTTCGGTTAAGGAATATTTTGGCAAGTCTGAGTGAGGCCTCAGCGCAAGACATGTCCATTGACTGCGTCTGAATGGAGCGCCAGATTTTTTGCGATCCTATAGTTAGTTAACCCGAAATCATATGATATTTGATGCATCACAGATTATACACTGTTTCCACATATTTTAATTCTAATTTAAGTGTGGGAAACCTTTTGCATAACCTGTAAATACCGTTGTTGATATGCTAGATAGAGATTTTTTTTGTTATAGTATATATGGTTTTTAAATCATGCACATGTTCAATTACTACATTCATTAAGCTATAACTTTAATAATCTTTTGCTATTTCATTCTTTTGGTCTATTTTCACACAGCTGTCACTGGTATAGTACTTGGTGATTCCATAAAGTGACCGAGAACTGGTTCTTCTCGATTCATTTTTTTTATATATAGCATGACAGAAAACTCACTCTTTATAGTTTTCGTAGCTGCAGTAGTTAATCCCAAAAATACGTAGTTACCTTACAAGCAATATTTTTCGATCTGAAAGGCTCTAAGCATAGATGTACCCTTCCTCCAGGAACGCTGAAAATTGATAGTGATGCTGCCAGCCCTTCTCGCAATTCGTGAAAGCAGTCGTTGTTCTGTTTTGGCAAGAGTTTTTTTAACTATGCTTAACCACCGTATTTCGTCGAGTCATCTCATTTCATGTTCTGGGTAGTTGTCGGTCCCGTTAATGAAACCAACAGATAACGAAACCAAGTGAGGAATGGCAGACATTATTTCTATCCATTTAACTGTAGTGTAGTAGTAATGATATTAAATGTAAAGACATCAGATGAAAAAACAACTTGCTGCCAGTGGAGACCAAACCCACAGCTTTCAAATACAGAATTCGAGGTACAGCATTGGTCGTCTTTCGTTCCACTCAATTGAGCATAACTGTTCATGTAAACCTGTTAGTGCTAACGTGCGCCGTTACCTGACTAACATGTTACGTTAGCCTATTTTAGCAAAGTTTCGTTCATTTTTGTCATCCCACCTACACCTTGATTTGTTTTTGTTTTTTACTCAGACAAGGAAATTGGCAAGAAAATGGCCACCGACGCCATGTTCAAGCTCGAGCATGATGTTGAGGACAAGGCCAAGGTCAAAGTTGTCACACCAGCGCTGGCCAAACTGGAGCAGCTGCAGGATCGCTGGCGAGACGACTACACTGCCAACCAGCTGCTGCGGAAGTCGTTTCGGGTGCGTATGTGCTTCCCGTTGCATTTTTGCTTATCGGAGGTGTCCACAGTTGGTGAAAATTTTGCATGGTACACGTGATATAATGACATTGAAGTCTTATCTAGGATTGTTTTCTTTGTTATTTAGAATGCCTCGTGATGGCACTCGGAACTTTTACCTTTAAATGGACGCTGTTGAGATCAGTTTTGCGCGGTGAAGCGATACATGTCACAAAGAAACTCGACGTTTTGGCCGTCTTTTTTACAGCCGAAGTAGCAAACAACATTTGGGCTAACAAAAATGAGTATGCAGATCTTGTAGAATCAGTCTTGTGCCAAGTATGGTGGTTCTTGGCGAATGGTCACAGCCGCAGAGGTGCTGAATTTCATTTGCCTGCAGATCTATATGGGCATCGTCGAGCTTCCACTACTATACGTTTCCAAAACAAGCACACCCAGAAAAGGTCCTACCGATTCACGGAGTGAGAAACAAAATACAAAAAGTGCTAAGAGTACAAGAAACTTGGCAACTGTACAAATGCCATTTGTAATGCCAGATTTGATCAGTGGCAGACCAACATTTAGAAAAGAATTTCATTTTTTACATTGTAAGGCTTTCAGACATGGTTCCACTAGGGATGGTTGATTAAGATTGTTATTCGATTATTATTGATCGATTTAGCCCTTAATCTATTATTCATTTTCGGTGTGATAATTTAGTTGATTAATTGCCATTCTTTAGGAGCGCTTTTAAAAAAGGTATCCCATTGCTTGAGGAGCCATGCTTGTATAAGAATTGAAGCTTGAATGAGTTGGTATGGGGTCATGGTTGATGCACTGCACACAAGAGGAGGACAAGAAATAAGAAACATACACATTATCGCCATTTCATTTCTTTATTTTTGAAATCACCTGACATTCTACGTACAAATAACATTTTAAATTTTCAACTTTGCATTCTTGGCCAATCCCTAAGGGGGCAGGAACATGCATTTGTATGAACAATGCATCTGACAATGCATCTGTATTCCTCTGATGGGAGTGCCACATATGTGGTTTCCGGCTTCATGTGATTATAACGCACTGACAATCTTTGTTCCCGTACTCCCTTTCATTTGGCTTTTTTCGCCACGCCTCCCTTGCATTTTTCCCTATAGCCAAGCTCTTCATGTGTTTATAACGTACAGACAATCTTCGTTTCCGTTCTCCCTTTCATTTGGCTTTTTTCGCCACGCTTCCCTTGCACTTTTCCCTATAGCCAAGCTCTTCATGTGATTATAACGTACAGACAATCTTCGTTTCCGTTCTCCCTTTCATTTGGCTTTTTTCGCCACGCTTCCCTTGCACTTTTCCCTATAGCCAAGCTCTTCATGTGATTATAACGCACAGACAATCTTCGTTTCCGTTCTCCCTTTCATTTGGCTTTTTTCGCTACGCTTCCCTTGCATTTTTTCCTATAGCCAAGCTCTTGTGTGTTCTTGTATTCTCCACTATCATATGGTGATTTCGGGACGTTAAACCCCGCAAGACAATCAATATTCTATTCTCCACTACTCCAGCGCTCGTCTTTTTGTCCCTTTGTCATTGTTCTCAGCTCATGTTATGTGCTATGTGTTATGTGTTATGTCAAAATGTGCAACTGGACGATGCGCTCCCACGGATGAAGTGTACAGAAAACAACAAACGTCTCTGTTGAACTTTCACACATTGTCTTGCTGTTTTCATTCGATGAAGTGAATGCCCGCGCATTCTCTTGCCCGTCCTAGAAGCATAGGTGGATGCCATAGACGACGGAGACCAGGGCGGGTCAATTTCTGCCTCTAGCAGGTATAGGGCTGCAGATGGCTTTGGGCTTGTTTTACTAGCGTACAAATATGTGCTGTAATGAAAAAGACTAGGTGACCTCGAGTGTGTTTCGGCATCGCTCGCCTTCTTGTCTCTGTGCTGGGGGTGAGGGCAGTAGTTTCTGATATCGATTAATCAAATGTCATTATTTGATCATTTCAAGTAATCGAAAAGCTGTGATCAGTTAGGAATAAATGATTAGTCGTGGAGAGTTAATCGATTAATTGATCATCACATTTACAATTCGTAGGTTTCACCTACTTCGATGGTGTGAGACTTCAAAATGCCAAGACTTTTCTGCAGCTTACAAGTTTAGAATAGTCTTATTGTGTGCAGTGAAGCCATGCTTTAGGATGGTTTGTTGCCGTTTTCGGTGCTGCATTTTGGTATACGAATTTTTTTTTGTGCTGCTATTTAGCATAATTTGCTAAGATACCTATGGCCAAATAGCAAACTTATTTCTCTGCTTAATTATGTTTATTTATAGCTGTGTTTGAACAATTTGTGGAAGGTACAAATACAGTAAAAGCTCGCAAATTTGAACTTTGCTAGTTTGAACTTGCAGTTAATTCGAACTGATGCCTTGGTCCCAGCACATGCCTATGCATTTCTATGGAGCAAAACTTCCAACAGTTCAAACGCGTCGGTTATCTACAACGGTTAATTCGAACTGGCAGCCCTCTGGCTTTGGTCCCTCTTCGAAGAGATTGGCCCAGAATTATCAGCCATATTACTCATCACTTTCATTTGTGTAAAACAAGCATAATGATTGATTTTAATGTATGCTTTTATGGTTGTAAATGTCATCTGCCTGTTGTTACTGCCATATAGTTAACACGGTCCAGTCAGGCGCTGTTTGTCTTTAGCCGTGTCTCCTTGGAGGGTATCAATATTGTGCTAAATAAACTCGGAAAAAAAGACTTTAATTTTGATCGCATTATTTATGCCACATCAATTAACAGGTTTTCGAGCACGTATAGCTTCTTATATTTTGGCATTAAGGCTCAATACTCACTTGAATGCAAGTCACTGCTTGTTTCCGGCGCATCACTGACTGATCAATAGATTTCATTCACTGTTAAAGCATGAACCTGATTTATGAAATTACCAGCCTCAAATGCGTATATCGCCTAATTTGCAAGAACAAGTTCTGAGCTGGCTCTCTGGGTTCTCCCCGCACAGTGTGGCGCAATGTCTGTTCATTCTAGCGTCGGCCTGCTAATTTGAACTCCACCTAATTGAAACAATTTTGTAGTGCCCCTTGAGTTTTAATCAACGAGCTTCTACTGTGTAACCGTGCAACCTGATGGACTAATGCATTTTTCTCTCGGCTGACAAAATAAATAGATAATTCATATGCTTTTAGAGCTAGATCATTCAAACTTCTCTCTAATATAGAAAACTGTTGAACATTTTGCATAACTCAGATTATTTTCTCCTTTTTTCTTTCAGTATTGGGAGCATAACATTAACAGTGCTCTATGCAGTGTTCAGTAAATTGTGTTCTTTATAAATAATCTGCCATACTATACCCTAATATGAATTTATTTAAGTAATACTATTAAAAAGTACAGGAACTTTATATTGATATATAATATTAATATAATATTACATTGTATCTATCATAATATTCCTAAAAGATAATTACCAAAACATACAATATGAGGCCAATTTTCCTGTGGTCGCAGAAAAGTTAAACCAACCATATACCACTTTGTATGGCCAAGAAAGGCCACTTGACAAAGGAAATGAGTTCAGTAATATCTTTAATTTATAATGCCTTATTTATGGGTGCACATAAGGTAGTGTTGCAGCACAGTCGGGCCTAAATAGATATTAAATAATAATAATAGTGAGCAGTTATTTATTATAATAAGCAGTTCAAACACTAGTTCTAAAGGCAATAGCTGTTAATTGGTTAATTTTTCTGGAGCTTCTTATTTGAAGCTACAGCATAATTGTACTGATGTTGAATGGTTTGCTGATCCTTGTGTTTTTGTTCTACAATTAAGCTTGCTTCATCCAGTTGCTTTAAATTTAATATATGGTGCTCCACTAGTACAATTTTGCTGCTGTAAAATTTTTTCCAAATTCATGTTTCGGCAATTGCACCTCTGAGGTATGCACATATGCTAGTCACTGCTCCAAGTCGGCGTTTTGCTGGCGCTAAGCCTTCTGTTGGAAGTACAGATGATTATTGTTCAATTGCTGAGAATACTTCATTGCCGAGAGCTATTGCCAGTACAGCCACTTTACTGATGTTTTTTTTTTTTTGTCCCTTTTGTTTTCTTTCGCATGTGCAACAGACTAAGAAGAAAGACCTGCACGTTCAAGCCGAGAAGGACCGAGCACTCCTGAAGAAGTCGTCACTTCAAATAAATCTCGTCCCCGAGACGCAGGAGGATAGCCGCATCGCCAAGCTGCTCACGTTGATGCCCACACAGAGTATGAGAACTTCTCCGATCCTTTGATAATTGGATGATCACTTTTGAATGCTTGACTGAGTTTCCTCACACCGCCGCCTTGTTGAGTTACGCCAAGCTGGTTGCCAAAACAGTTAGCTGACGGCTTTGCTTACTATTTGTTGCTATTGCATTCTGTTGTGTACAGTTAAACACCTCAATAGCAGAATCGCCGGGGAACCGACTTTGTTCATTTTCGTGAGAGTTCTGTCGTCACAAGATACTATGCAAACAGATGCATATTAATTAATTTGCACTGCTGAAATTTATTCAAACAAGTTGCTGATCTTGGTTTTCATTTGAGAATTGTTGGAATCGAGCTGCACAGGATGCCAAACTGTTCTGCAATATCCGCCTTTTTTCTGATTTTTCAGCTTCGGAGATGACATTTGACTTTTTCTGAAGCATCAATAATTTAGGTTTTTCAATAGTACGCTACGTCTTCTTGAAAGGCCATAAAATATGGCACGTTAGCGTATCGCTGAGCAATAGTATTGAAAGTTGGGCTACTTTTTACGGATGCATTTTTGGTTACAGTGCGAAATTGACAAATACTGAAGGGACAGAAACGAGTGCTGACTCGTAACTGAAAAATTTATTTAAAGAACACGTGACCCTGAAAAATAATTATGAGATAAGAAGCATATCAACATTGTGCAGAAGTGTTCAAAAGAAATATAAAAAGTTACATAGCGTATCACCTGATGGTGCATGTGTCGAGAAGGCAAGCGAGCTCTCTCTTTGCAATGCAAGGGTTTTCTCAAAACACAGATCCCAGATAACTAGGGAAGTGAAAGAGGCTTTCAACGTTAAGTGAATGGATGAAGCATGCATCAGTGAGGCATCGATACACCATATTTACTTGCGTAATGATGGCACTTTTTTTTTTTTTTTGAGAAATGTGACCAAAGTTGTGGGTGCGTTTATATGCGGGGCACATTTTATGAAAACTTTTTCGGGATGTGCGAAAAATACGATAATGCAAGAAGAGTTAAATCGTTTAGCCTTTTTCAATAGACATACACGTACTACACTGTTTGGAAACAGCTTCTTTGTTGCACTTCACTCATCTTCGGAGGCTGAAGGGGCCATCTTCTGCAAGCTGTCCCCGCAGCATTTCGCAGCTGTCTTTTCTCACAAACGTTTAACCACATCAGTTTATCTGCTGTGATCTCCAGGGGCACCCAGAAGCGTGCGCTACAACGCACTTTGGCAACTTTGCAGCAACCTCGCATGACGACCACGACGACACCGTGGACATTGTAGCAAGTAACCAACATTGCACCAAGCTAGCACCGAAGCGTCAAAACAGATCGTCAATAACGAGATTTACAACAAAATACGGCCACCGCCTCGCTGTCGCATGAGAAGTTACTGTCGAAAAACTAGCCTATATCTTGTGTTCCATGAAGTGCACGTGAATAACAAGCACTAAGAAAAATGTGCAACCGAAGCAAGAATCGGGGGTGCTACCGCGTTTCGGAAATAGTGGGAACTTTTCTGGCCGACAGGCAACTTCTTTCTGGTTTTCCAAAAGCCTCACGATGGCGACAAATGGCCCTTCACGACAGCCATTGCCACAGCAAATCCTGTCATTGTCGATTGAAAATTGTGTGCTTGTGATTTGGCCTTAAAAGTTTCATATTTGCAGGAAGCGACCGTAGGTTGGCGCGAGCAGTTTCGTCACCTTCGCTCGCTGTGTGCGCGTCAGCTGCGATGCCTGTACACTCACACCGGTCGTGAACCCCACTGTGGCGCATAGATAATTAAAAAAAACTGGGGACTTACCGTGCATAGATAGAAAGAAAAAACAACACGGCACGCGGCAGCGAGTGAAGGAGGAGAGGGGATGAGCAGAGGTGGCTGAGGGGGGTCGTCATAATAATAAAAAACAGAAGTGATCCAACGGGCAAAGAAGTGCCAGGTGTCGGTTAGCAGGCTTGCAGTGGATGAACGTTGGGGGATGGGTTTACGAGAGAGCAAAAAAATACGACTTTTTACGACTAAAGTGGGGGGTGCACTTATTCTGCGAGTGCATTCATTACGCGAGTAAATACGGTGTCTCACAGCAAAACAGTTGGCATAGTACTCAGCACTTTTGTCGTCAAGTGATACACTATGTAACTTCTCATATTTCTTTTTAACACTTCCGTGCAATGTTAATACGCTTTCTTCTTCATTTCTTTATGTTTTCATGTTTTTCAATTAAAACTTTCACTTGTGAGCCAGCGCTCATTTTTGTCCTGTCTATTTTCGTCAATTTCACGCTGTAGCCAAAAATGCAAATCGCTGAGTGCACATGGAGAGATGCACAGCAGCAAGCAGTTAGGGAGGCCACAGAATGCCTGTCGGCGTGATGTCATTTTTGTGGGTGTCGTCACTTAAAACATCATGTACTGGCACATTTGCTAATGGAGGTGTTAGCAAAAGATGTTTTCAGCAAAAAAAGTCTTGTTCTTATCATCATCTGACCAAATGTAATCAGCAATGGTCGCACCGACTATTAGTGGTCCTGCAATTTTGGAACTTCTGGATTCTCAACTAGTTTATGGGTAGAAAATAAATGTTGCAGATTTCTGCCTTGAACTTTTAATATTGTGGGAGTACTTTTTAAAATCTCTTCATTGTAAAGAGGGTGCAGATGCATTAAACTCTGGGGACATTCACTTGGGACACCAGGTTTCCTTGTTGCCACAAGAATTTCGTTCTTGAGGGCTTTCATTATTGAGGGACTCAACTGGTACTTGTTGCTATTTGTTTCTATTGAATTTGTTGCTGTCACGGTGATTGTCTCACCTTTGTGACATAACTGTTTTATTGTGAAGCAGCACATCCTAACAGTGTTTTAGTTTATCAGTATTTTTCTGCAGTTTCATAGTTTGCATGCATTTCCAGTACTCCGCAAGAACATACTAAGAAATTAAAAAAATGACTCTTTTTCACACCACCTGCAGCATCTGATGAAAGGCGGGAGAGGAAAAGAAAAGAAATATCCATTCGACCGCTCTTTGCACCCCAAGCACCAACATCAAGCTCCACAAAACAGACTCTCACAATGCAAAGCCTTAATGTCACAAAGTTGGAGAAGTTGGAGCTGGCATCTGGTCTGTCAACGCCGCTGCAGAAGGACCTCGTCAGGAAATGTGAGCCAGAGAAAGAAGAGAAGTCACCCCAGCTTTCCAAGTCACCATCTTCAGAGAGGACAATCTCCTTGGTGTCTGATGCATACTTTGAAGACTCATCTGGTGATGAAACGTAGTGCCGTTGTGAGTCGGTAGGCTGTAAATAATTGGAAGAAGTGTACTGAACAGTATGTCATTTTACAAGTGTGGTTAGCTGTATTCATAACAAAGGACACGTGTTGTCTCGTTGTCATAGTTTAAAGTCTGACTTACCAGGTAAGAAGCGAGAAAGCTGGCCCACTACACTAACAGTGAGGAGTACGTTCAAAGCCAAATGCTCACTCAAAACCAGCTCATATTTTATGCATCGAGAAATAAATTAAACATCTTGTTTCTACGAGGTTGGTTGCATTCAACACTGCAAGTCAACTTCTCGCAAATGATGATGATGATGATCAAAACTTTATTACTCCCAAAAGAGGGGACCGGCCAAGAGGTCGGTTACGCTGCTTAGAAGAGGTCAGCGGGGATCCCTTGGGACACCGTGGCCTCCAATGCGCGTGAGATTACCCGGCATTGCTGTGCCGAGTCAGTGATATGGAGAAGGGACTCCCATGCATCTTCTGTGTGAGAAGCGTCAGCGTATTGTGGACGCGTCCGTGCCATGTGTATGAGGGCGACGCTGGCACTTGTGGACCATGTTGGGGTGCTCTCAGTCCCTGTCATATCTCTTTCACCTCGTGGCACCCTTTCATTCAGTGAGTTGGCGCCCTCGCCATTGTTCGAGGAATGGCACTGGTGTCGAGGTAGCCTAGGGGGCATCGCCCCGTCACCAAAGATAGGCGGGTGCACAGGGCACAGATGTCATTTGGGAGGTGCGATACTATGGCTCGCACTGACGGACTCCTAGCGAGTAAGATGTCGGCAACACATTCGAATACAGTGTGCGTGTTATGTATTTCTCTCCATCTTCTCTCCTCGTTTCTCTCAATCTTTCCTTATTCATTCTCTTGTGAACTACTGCCGAGGTGCAGACAGCTGTGGAGCTCAGTTTTTTTTTCTATTTAAGAATAGGAAAAATGGAACTGAGCCGTCGTCTTCTACCATAGTTTCAGCCGCTGCAAGTCATTCAATTTTAGTGCCAAGCTGAAGGAAGGTAAGATATCTCCATTTCACCCACGGTTGTCCGCGGAACAATATCTTTTGCCGGAACGCAGACACTCTCACACAAAGCTGCCTGCTAAGTCACGGCTCGCGAGTGCGCCAGTGTTGCTGGACTGTCAGGCCGCTCGCGTGTTTAAAAAAAAAGTTCAATTATGAATACGTCTTTTTTGGTTGAACCGTTGGCGGCTGCCACAATATGAATTCGTAGAGCGTACCGCGTGCTCGATCAATTGCTCTGAAATTTCTCCAGCTTCCTTGCGAGTCGCACAAAGGTTAACCCTCGTAAGACAGATTATGATCGAAAATCGGGTGTCATTTTAGGCAGGAGTCATGCCGCCCTCTCGCACGTCCTTCCGTCAACATTTGTCAAAAGTAATTTCGCTGGTAAACATTCAAAGTCATTATCTAGATGAAACAAACTACAGTGACAGTTCAATGTCACGCAACAGTCGGGCGAGGTGACCGCACAGGACACCTAGCAGCACGTTTATGCGTGGTCGTCAGGGAATCTTGGCATGTGGCGGTTCCTGCATACGAGCAAAAAATTGTGGTAGTTCCCAGCGTAGGACGTGCGCATGGGGGGGGGGGGGGGAGCGTGATTTCTCCCTGTAGATATAGAAAGGAAGACGCCGAGTATGCCCTGTATTTTTTCTCTGTCGGAGCTGTTCCGCCATTCCTTAAAGAACAGGCTAGTGGTCATGTAAGTTTTTGGCAATAATGACAGGGCGTGCTTTCATGTCTTCTTTATTTTCTGCCGTTGTGCGCACATTCAGTCTGAAGGAGTTGGTGGTGTTCTGGCTTCCGTTCAGCAACTAAGGTGGTATTGCTGCGGCAACCGTCAACGATTCAACCAAGGAAGACGCAGCAGTTCTGCTCTTCTAAATGTTTCCCCTTCGCCTACTAAACTACCTCGCCACGTGGGGGAGGGGAGAGGGAAAAGACAAGAATAAACATATGGTTAAGTAGCGCACTGTTTTGCAGGGAGACAAGAATAAAGTGCCTCGGGAATTCACGTCAACCGGCTGTCTTCACCACTCGTAGACATCCCAGCACCTTCTTCGGCAAAGAGTAGTCAGCTAATCAATATTGTCAGCCCGCTAAATATTCCAAGAAAACGAGACTGAAGTTTTGTAAAAACCTTACCATTACCATTTCGATGTGAAATTACAAATAAAACTTTTTGAGCACTATAAAAATTTTTAAAAAACCCCAGAACTGAAAATTTCCTACATATATGTATATCTACCCACTTTATCAAGGCGGCCAGATAACTATTTACACAAAGTTTACGATGATGCGCAAATCTAGACTTTAATACGGAAGAATGGGCTGCATAATTAACAGAACAACTTTTAAAACCACGTTATTAAGTCCATCGCAGTAGCCGAGTTGGTAAAGTGTTGAGGTTTAAACCGAAAGGGCACTGGTTGAAATCGCAATGCCGGTTGAAAAATGTCACTAGGCGATGTGGGTAAGGAAGCTAAAATGTTATGTATCCTTGCTAGGGTTGAGGCTTATAAGGGGTATATATGTGCCCACATGTCTGAACCATAATAAAGGTGTCGGCTGCAAGTCAGCACTGTTACCGTGCCTTCTTGAACTTGTGTCTTGTGAAAATCTTGCGCTGTTTTTTCCTCTTAAACTTTATGGACCTTTTTCTTACTATTGGAAATAACACCGCGTGTTATTTTTTTTTTTTTTCACTCTGAGTAAAAATGCTCGTACATACTTGCTATTGGCTATATCCACCTGTACTTAAACGACCTCAAAGTGCCGCCGGTTTCGCACTCATGAACGGCCTCTCCACACAGTGAGGACACTAGGCAAACCTCAACAGCCTCGGCGTGGTTAAATTATGCGATAACGAGCGTAGTATCTTTAATCAAACAAAGCACCATGTGGACCATTTCTAGGGGTTTCTGGCAGGATGAGTCCACCCAAGTGCGTGACCGCTTCCGATTTGAAAATTCCCCTGGTTGGTTGGCTTCTCCGCAACGGGCGTGGAAAACAAATCGAAGACGTTGATGCTCTTATCAGCCCTGATAAGCCGAAACTTTTGTTTGAGGGCACACCATGCGTTGATGCAGTTAACTGCGTACTTCGTTCGGCTTCTTGGTGCGATACATACCAAATCTGGCCAGGTCAGCCGTACAGTAGGTCGCAGTTATGGCAACGATCACGCACTTCGGCAGACTCACTTTGCGAGAAACACTACGAAACAGGGCACATAAAAGTTTGTTCGATTTAAGGTACTACGCTCGTTATCGCAATGATTAGCCGCACCGAGGCCGTTAAGGTACGCATTGTGTCCTTCCAGTGTAAAGTGTGCGTCCGCGAATAAGCCTATCGAGGCTCCTTCGAGGTCGCTTAGGCAAGGGTACATATAGCCGAAAGCAAGTATAAACTTCTTCCTTGTTTGTCCTCTGAAGCTAAGCCTAACGCGATTTTGCCACCTTTAGAGCATAAAGTGAAAAGTGGTAAAAGGTATACAGTGTTGATCGGCTATATATAGCCCTCAAAAAGCGACCTCCGGGTGGTGCCAGTTTCAAGCTATTGTTCGGCAAGCTTACGCAAAAAATATAAAAGGTGTATGTTAATGGTCTCGCTGTAATTATACTATGCGATTATCGTCACCGCACCTTTAATCAGACAAACCTCTATGTGGTTCTTATTTTGATGAACTTCCTGTGTAAATGTCTGCAGAGCTGGCACGAAAGCGGGAAATTCAAACTGCACGTTGCTATCTTGTTCATTTTTCGCCCCAAGGTGTCAGAAATGGGCAAAAAAAATTTCCCACGGTCTGTATTGAGGAGAAGCCAACCACGCTTGGTGTGCCCTAAGACAAAAGATTGGGCTTATCGGGGCTGATAAGACCATCACGTCTCTCCATTTGATTTTTACTCACCGTTGTGGCGCCACCTATAGCCACCAACGGCCATAGCCATCATAGTGATAGTACTGAACGTTATGGCTAGGTATCGCTACTGGCCGCCTCACGGAGGAAGGAAAGGTAAGGAGAGGCCCTGACGTCACTCGTTGTGAAGCCGCAATGAAGCCGAAAGTCGGCCATATTGACTAGGCAAGTTCTCCTCTCTTGTTTACATATGAATGCGAAGCAGAAGGCGCGACTCCCTCTCCGGCTCGGAAAGCAAGTGGGCTGCGCAGCGCGTGTGTCGTGACGATCCGAAACTAATGGAACTGGGCTCATCACTCTGAGCCAGCGGGACACCTTCAGCGAAATCGCTTCGTCCGAGTAATAACAGGGAGTAACAGCTCGCCGACAACGAAGCAACTACGAGAGAACGCGCGATAGATGCACTGACAACGGCGAGTGCTTTCACGTCATTAATTCAGCAACTGTACAGACAACACGATCGGTCGTGCGCCTTCTACGGTTGCATTCCGCCACGCGAACGACGCAGCGTCCTGCCACTGTGTCCCGTGTTCTGCGTGAAACTCACCGGCGTCAGCATTCTGCGACCGTGGTGACTTTGAGCACGGTGCTAGTGACAGTTGAACGTGGTTGCTGTTACGTTGAGATTACATGCAATGCTGGTGGAGAGTGTACCAAGCGGAACAGAAAAGGTGTTTTAATACGCACATGCAAGTTGTTACTGTACATACACAACACGAAACTACGTATGTGCACATGGTCCTCACGGCGTCTTGCTGGGCTCAACAGCGTCGTCCGTTGTCACAAGCAGGAGCACTGCTCAACCGTCACTGATCTGCAAGGCGTTCGTCGTCATTTAGTTTCGTCATGGTGCCCAACGCAATTTCGCTGAACACTAACTGCTTCATCCGCGTCATCCGCCGCACGACACATGGATATGCACTTGTTCTACGCACTGTTGAAACCCCGTGATGGACAAAGGGATTTGTAAACGTTGCTAAGAGTAATGTAACAGCCAGGAGAACACTGCGTAACCAATAACGCGGCGCAGAGCACAGATATTGTCCGCCACGGTTCAGCACGAGACCTGGGGAGGCACACATTCCGCCGCCAGCCGCGGCCGCTCACTGCTAGACCAGCTCCACTGCGCAACACGTAACCATAGCAACGCCGCCATTGTGCCTAGTGAATATGGCCGCCATGATGTCATTTCCGCCACATTTTTAGATGCGGAAGCATCTTATACTCGCGCCTTGTAGTGCGCCGTCCGCGCCGTCCGCACCGCTTCTCGAACATTCGACAGCTGACGCGCGCGCATGCGCCGTCGCGCCGTCGCCCACTCT